CAATTGTAAATAAAGCAGCAATAAACATGGGGGTACAAGTATCTTTTTCAATCAGTGTTTTTGTGTCTTTTGGGTAGATACCTAGGAGTGGGATTCCTAGCAGTTTTCTTTTTAATGGGTGCTATTGGCTACGAATTTGCCAAAGGTCACTCAGTAGATTCTACTCCTCCCACTTGAGGTCAGTCTCAAGATTTTAGACCTTTTGACTTCCTTGAGGCTTAATCAGGCGCATGAAACCTTCAGTGTGATCTGAATTATCCTCTTGGACCCATCCAGAAACATTTCACTTTCCTTTTCCCCTTTCTTAAAGAGCAAGACTCTTGGTTTCAGAAATTTGAAAAGCGGATTTGACCACTGCAACCTCTACTGGAATTTTAATGGAGACCAAAAACGGGGCAGACAATTTTTGCAGATTTCTCTGTGTTCGGGGGCGAGCGAGCGCCCTCTTCTCCTGAGATGTTTGCCGTGCGGAGATCATTATATCTGTAGCCATTTATCTAGTTAATGGCTGTCCTCTGACAGGCTGACAAGCTTCCTCTTATCCCCGGGAGAGGCCAAAACATTGCCGCTGGGCTGGGTCCCTAGGTGAAGGCCCAGATGTGTGAAGACTCCAGGGAGACTCTCTAGTGACTTACCTGTCACAGGAGAGCCTCAGCTGGGTGGGAGAGAAGTAACATTGTCTCCTGGTGAGACCTGATTTTTATGCAAGAGTTGGAGTCAGCTTTCAGGCCTGAGACGTTCCCAAGGAGGTGCTTTCACTTCCCCTTCCTGGGTTGGGGAAGCCTCCCATCACCTTATCAGCTCCTTGGTGGGAATGTAATCAGGTGGGCACCCAGGAAGGCAGGAAGTGGGCGCCAGACCAGAAGGGCAAGCCACAGCCGACACCCACTCCCCTTGCCTCACAGAGCCTCCTTGGGAACGTCTCAGGCCTGAAACCATGGCTTCATCTCCCACTGGTCCAAGCACGCTGCTCCCAAAAACTAAATCAAGGAGGAAGGGGCAGCCAGGGGCTGCCCAAGACTCAGCTCCCAGGCAGAGGACCGACGGGCCAAGTGGGAGGTGATCTCCCAAAACGGGAGCCAGGCCCTGTGGCTGGAAGGAGGGACACACAAGCTGAGCACCCCACGTGCACATCCCTTCCTTTCCCACTGCCCTTTCGGATTTCAGGGGGGATCCAGCGTAGACAGCGGTGCGAGCCCCTGTTGAAATCAATTGATCAGAATTTCAAGACAGTGAGGGCAGAGGGTTAGCAGACACAGGTCCAGAATGGAGGGACGGCCCCAGGAGGATGCACTGAGGTATTTACCCGTCTGGTTTTATATGAATCTGCATGAAATACCTTTGTGGATGGTGGGGAAAGCTGCGATTTGTATTGTCAGATTAACATATGTCCAGCTGGCCTTTGGACAAACTCTCAGTTGAGGAGCAAAGAAAGAGTCGATCACACCCCTACTGGTGTGGGTGTGTAAACCCAGGCAAAGGCAGGGGATAGATCCAGTTCTGGGGGCTTCCCCTCTGTTTCAGCTGCAGCACAGTCAGAGGTGGGGAGCTGGCTTCATGCTTCATGCCCAGTCAGACGCGCCGATGCAGTCTGCTCTTCTGTCCACTCAGTGCAGGGCGAGAGGTGTTAGGGCCATCGTACAGATGAGCTTGCTGTGGTCATGGTCCTCAGTGCACGAGGCCCAGCTGGGCTGGGGGGAGCGGCCAGTGCTGGGCATCACTGAACAAGCTCAAGTCCAAGGTGCTGGAGGATTGGAAGCTCATGGCTTGGTCAGACCACTAAATGAGAGCAGACTTAAAAGGCTGCTTTAGAGGGTTTAGATTCCTAGGGGACTCGTGCAGGTTTGATGGGGTGCGCCCCAGAACACCCCTCCAGCTACAGGAGTGCAGGGTGGATTCCAGCCCCATGGTGTCCACGGATCAGCCAGGGGGGCCTGAGTGAGGAAATTTACTTTATGTTTCTTAGAACAGTGTTTGCCATTCTCGGTTCATTTCCAAAATGAAGCCACACATCAGGAACGCTTGTCTAAATACTTTAATTAAAATGCATTGTGATATGATCAAAGCCAGACTGTAAATGCAGTATTCATGTTTACTGAGAAAACAGAGAAAGATATTCCAGGTAGCAGAATGCATTTTGATAATGGCATTTGAAACAGGTTCTAGTTTTGGATCTCGTGTAAAATATTTATGTAATTAAAAAAATAACCTGCTATTTGTTTTCTACTAAAGGCAGGGCATGCTGAACCATTTTAAATGCGAAGAGGTTCAATACACATCAACAAAGGTCCTGTTTCAGCTGCAGAGTTTCAGAATCACTGTCTTCCTGGGCTGAGTCAGCCACACCTTGATGACCAACCAGTCCAGTTCTACGTGGAGAATAAGGCCAGCCTCAAATTCAAGCCATCTGCTCTCCCAGTCTTATGAAAGTGTCAAGTTTAATGAGAGAGTTCAGTGAAATTAAGACACTGCTGATCTCATTTCAAAATCAATTTTTCTCTCCCGTACAGTTTTCAGGAACCTTGAGAATCTCTCGCTGGGTATAATAAGCAGCATGTATTCAAGGGTTGATAGGTAAAAGTTGAAGTACATTGATATATAAAAAAGATTCCTTATAAAATAGGATCTCACAGTGAAGGTGCCCTTGAAACGTTTTGCCATCTATGGGAGGGCAATACATTTACTTTATTGATGCATCAGAAATACTTGCTAGAATTGGAAGCATTCTCTATGCTTGATTCCTAGAATGTCAACTACGGGACCGCTAGTGAAAAAAATTGCCCAACCTGCCAGACTTCCCTTACTTAAAAACAGGGTTTACCAGTGAAATTATGTCTGCAGCAATATTTTTTAAGAGTGTGGGATGGAAAACAGCAAAAATGTCCATCAAAGGAACAGCATGAAGTGCTCTGGTTTCTCCCCAAAACAGGGCAGACTGCAGTCACTGAGACACCTTTACGTGCCTGGGAACAAGCTTGGAAAGACCTCAAGTGAAAACTAACAGCAGCTTGAGTATGCTACCATTTGTGTCACAAAGAAATAAACAGGGAAGGAAGCAACAATGAATTGACACATTTCCTGCGTAAGGTCCAAAAATCTGAGAGTTTACAAAAGGGACAGATTAACAGTGGTTGCTTTCATGGAGGGGAATGGGGGCAGTCGGGAGCCAGAGAGAATTTTTTCTGAGAAGGCTTTTGCATCCATGTAAAATGTGCTTCCGACGAGAAGGAGTTAATATGTCTTCTTAAGGGGTGAAATAATCACCTCCATTATTGTTCTATCCCATGTGACGATTGCTCAGATCATGACACGTGTCATGGAAAAGATAAATCTGCTTATTATGCTGAGATTGAGAAATGCTTAGGCCAGCCGGGAGGCTTCCATATTGTTTAAATTTTTTCAAAGGAGCAACGAGTGTTCTGTTGTTAGCTGGATGGGTGAACAACACACGTTCACAAGCTCCTGCAAGCGTCCTTCTGCAGCTTGCCATGCTCCTGTGATTTCCTATAAAGTGGGCAGAGCCTGCTGGAATCCAGACCTTTTGGGTCTATTGCTCTGGTGGCAAACCACTGGTGCCATATGCGTGTTTGTGTTTAATCACGCATTCCCCTAAGAATCAATCAAAATGCAAATAAAATCTTCTCAATAAAATATTCATGGACTGAATGACTTTTTCCTTTTTTTTTTTTTTTTGAATCACAAAAGCAGCATGGCATGATCTGGAGGAAGCTCAGAACTTAGGCTGTGAGATTTCTTTCATCTTTGCAGATGAATTGGAGGTGCTATCATCATCTCTACGCAAGGGGTGTCAAAAACAAGCCACAGATTAGTCCGCGCAGATGAGAGCTGGGTGACAGGCAGGAGGGTGTGCCCAGGATGGCTCACGGCTCCTTGCCAACCAGCCCGACCAGCCTGTTTCCATTTTATCTGTCCTGAGATAATGGTGTCCACTGTGAACTGAGCAGTGGGGGGCGCGGGGTGGGGGGCATCCTGCTAAACACCCCTCCACCCCCAATGTGTCGGCCGGGCAAGTATAAATGCATGGGCCACAGGATCAGGATTGCTATATTCCCACTTAGCCAAACCAAGAACATTGCTGCAGACTGGTGGCCACCCTTGAATGGAGGGAGCCAGTGGTGAAGGAGAAACCCCAGAGCGCTCAATACCCCTTCAATTCTCCAGCAGTGCTGCAGGTGGGTCTGGAGTCCCATTCTATCCTCTGCCCGTGGATGTTCCAACAGGAGAAAATTTTTTTCTTAAAAGTGATCTCCGTGGGGGAGGTAGGGCTCTCCAGTGAGGGAGGGGCCGCAACGCCATGACATGTGTCGATATCGAGATGGACCCTGGAAGAAGCTGACGTCAAGGCAGGCATATCATCGGCCACTACTGCGGGCAGGCACCTTGGCCTGGAGCCTGGATCAGCGGGGGCGCGGGGGGGAGCCGGGGAGGGGGCACAGCCGAAGCGCTCTGGCACCTGCCAGTAGCCGGCGTGGCGGTCACCTCACTCCGCGTCCTTCTTCTCCTCCGGGATCTCCACTGACAGGGTCTGTTCGCCGGGGTCCGGGCCGGGGCTCATGTGAATTCTCACCGAGTGTTCCTGGGCCCCAGCCGGCCCCTCTCCTCCTCCCTCTGGCTTCGGGGGGGCCGAGGCGGGTGGCGGTGAGCGCTGGGCAGGGGCCTCTGCCGGGGGCGCGGGCAGCGTGGGCGGGCCTGGGGCGGCCTGGCCGGCTTCTCCCGGGGCCGGGGCCGCCTGGCCGGCTTCGCCCGCGGCGCCTTCTGAGTTCTTGGCCTGCGATGGAGAAAGCATGACTTATGAGACTTGAAGACCTGAGGGCTGTTGGAAGGCTGTTCCCCACGCCAAGGAAGAGGAGGATAGTGTGTACCACATCACGGAGCAGGATCTGATGGATGAGGGGGGCCGCGAGGTTGGAGCCCATGAGGGTTACTCCACAGAAGCCACATATTATGGGAAGTTTAAGAATGAGGAGACGTGATTTAGGGAAGATTGTGGGGCTATCTCAGGCCTCAGCTGGCCCCTGTGTTTCAGCCTCTGAGCTTTAGAAGGAGGGGAGGCTGTGACTCTGCACCCCACCTACCCCCACCTGCCTCCCAGTGATCTCCCTGCCTGCCCAGCCACACAGGAGTACTCCAGGGTGAACTAGAGGAGAGCCAAGCAAACGAGGGAAATGCTGATGAAGGCAGGAGCTGCTATGCTCCTTCTGGAAGATCTCAAAGGTGGAGACCCCAGGGCTGGGTACCGACTGGCACAGGGCTGGACTCAGCCCCCTGCTTGAGGACGTGTGGGACCCCAGTCACCTGCTGGTGGCATATCTTTGTGGACACCCGCTCCGTCTGACTCCATGGAGGAAGCTGGGACAGGGGAGGCATCAGAGGAGGGGCCCGAGGGGCCCACAGCCCTCAACACCCCCTGAGCAGTGATGGAGCATGTAGGCAACCTGGAAGCTGGCTCGAGTCACAGGTGTTAAAGGAAGGGGTGGGGGGGGGCCGGGGCCAGCGTGGCTCCGGGGACCTTCTACCTTTGGCCCCATGTTTCTGAGGTCTTGGGGCACCTGTTCCCCCTCCCCTGTTCACCTGAACTCTGAACATATACATCCAAGGCAGGACGTCCAGACAGGACGCTTATCGGGACTTCTGGCTGTGATGGAGCCCAGGGCGGCTGTTCAGGGCCTCGCCACGCTCCTGTGGCTTTCTAAGAGGCGTCCTGCTCCAGGCCTGCACCCTGGCTGGCACCCCGGGCTCTGAGGGACTTCCCCAGGCCACGGAGCTGATGGTGACGGAGCCCTGATCGGACATACGTCTTTCGCCTCGCTGTTTCTGACCTCCTGTGCTCTTTCCTGGAGCCCGTCTGTTCCCAACTGCAGGGAGAGGCCTTTGGGTAGATGATGCAAATGTCACCTCCAGGCTGCCTCAATACTCTGGAGCCACAAGTCCTGCTTGGGAGGAAGCCTCTAGCCACCCTGAGAGCACTCAGAGCTCATGCCCACCTGGTGCCACTAAAGACCCCACCTTGCCAGCCTGACTTTGCCCCTGCTAGGTTTTGAGCCCAGCACTCGCCTCTGGCCTCGGTCTGTATCTAGAGAATGCCCTAGAAGCCCAAATGTCACTGATAATCACTCATCAGACTCCTGCCATCAAGTGGCCTTTGGGCAGGTCCCCGGGCTGTGACAACAATCTAGATGAGACCAAATTCAGGGACTGCTGCCGGCTCCTAGAAAGCACCCCGCCACTGTGCTCCTGCGAACCCCACCCCTGTTACCAGCATCCTCCCCGAAGGACGGCCACGAATAGCCATAATTAGTGCAATCATTCTAATTGGCGTTCTTGGCATTAGTCACAGACAAGAGTCCCAAAACTAATTTTAAAATTCCCTTTAGATTTATGGGGGCAGGGGCAGATGGCACAGTGCCTGTTGGCACGGCTTCTCCTTTCAAATCTTTTAAATTGTCACAGACACAATATTAAATATGAGAACATGACAACCATCTGGGGAGGGACATCCCTTGCCCACAGCAACTGCTCCTGCCTCTGCAACAGCAGCAGGACTCCCTTTGGGGAACGCCCCTCCCCCCAAAACTCTCAGCCCAGGCACGGGTGGGCGTGCAAGCCAGCCCACTCCAAGTACCCCCCGAATGGTGCAGGAATTGACCTGTAACCCAATTCTGGTCAAAGGCAGTGAGCCCTAGGATTCTGTCTGGAGTCACCGGGTCCACTCTTTCCAGTAGGGAGAAAGCAATGTGGATTCGGAAGGTTCAGTGTGTACTGCACTACGACATTCAGGGCTAGGTGCACTAAACGCATTATTTTTATCTCAGGATGGATGGCTTATCCGGGGAAGACCCATCATGAGGCTGTGTGCAAAACGGGGCTTGTTCTATTGCAGTTGCTAAACCGGGGGGTGTAAGCCTCGAGCTTTTGGGCCCTGCCTGTTGGGGGGCGGGGGGCCGTCACTGAGAAAGCTGGGTGGCAGATGCCACAGCCAGCCGTTGGCATTGTGCAAACTAATGGATCTAGCCTTGCCAAGCTTTGCAATTTACTTGACCCAGTAAATTCCCTGTTTTCTCAAGCTCATTTGAGTTTGCTGTGTCACTTGCAACCAGACAACCTCTGATTGATATAAAGGGTGGGGGCATTAAATGTGTGGTCACTCTGCGAGGCCCAGCGCTCTCGCTGGCACGTGGCTGAAATGGACGGGGTGGCTGGGGGCCTGGCCAAGTTACCTGTTCCAGCAGCTGCTGCTGCTTTGCTGCTGCTTCCAATGCTGCCAGTTCTTTGAGTCGAGCTCGGAGGTGGGCAAGCTTGCCACCCTTCCCGCCCCTTCCTGCTGCAGCCAGGGCGGCATTGAAGAGCTTGGGGGTGCCGGCCCGTGGGGGAAGGATGAGTACACTCTTCTTCTCCTCCTTGGACTTGTTTTTCTTCAGCATGCGCCTGAAAGAAAGCAGCCTCTGCTTATCTCATGTGCTCGCTCTGTGAGAGGAGAACGTGTGCACAGAGTTCAAGGTGGAGTTGTGTGGCCGGAGCCAAGCTGAGTGTTTTATGCCTCGTTTTATGTCTCATTGAGTGATCGAAAACCGAATTGACACGGATCTTGTTGTCTGTAAGAAACTCAAGCTCAGAGAGGTTAAGTACATTTTCTGAAGTCACACAGTAAAAATCTGATTCCATGTTTAGTACATGGAATCAGAACTAGGATGCCCGGATGAAAGGGCCCAAAACGTTTGCTTCTTTTTCTTCTGCTGCCTTGTCCTTTCACCACCATCACCACTGTTCACACCAGTCAGACCCTTGTTTAATCCCCTCCAGGTGACCCTGTGATCTTACTTCTGGAGTCCATGCCTTGAAGAAGGGTGGGACATGTGATTTGCTTTTGACCAACAGTCTGTAGCAAGGTGACCAAACATCTTTTTTGTTTTGTGAATGTCACATTGGACTGTCTCCCTTGTTGGCTTTGATGTCAAGTAGCTATGGGGGGTAGGGGGAGAAGCCCACCTGGTGAGAACCTGAGGGCAGCCACCAGCCAGTCTCTGGTGGAGACTCCCAGAGAGTAGATGCACTAAATGTACCTACCACAGGAACCCAACTCAGCGAACCTTTGCCAGTGGAGTCTTGAAGTGAGACTCAGTCTGATCCACACCCTGGTGATAGATTTGGAACAATTCCAACTAAGCTGTGTGCCTAGGCTTCCTCTCCACAGAACTGTGGGATAGAAATCTATGTAGGCGTACAAAATAGACAAACGGATCAAAAAGTTCTATTTCTACAATGGAATATTACTCAGCAATCAAGAAGGAAAACTCATGCCATTTGTGCAATATGAATGGAGCTGGAAAGGGTTATGCTAAAAGTTCAAGAACAGTCAAAACCAGCATCCTGACCATAGAACTGAGGCATACAGCAACGGAGAGGGTGGGGTGGGAGAATGAACACACGGGATTATGGAGATGGTTCATGGGTAATATGGTAGAGGGAGAACTGTAGGGACTACAGTGATATAAGAAAAATATTTTTAATTAATGAATAAATGAAATTATAAAAAAAGAAATGTGGGTGGGCTGCTGAATTTGTGGTGGTATTATTTTGTAGCAATAGGTACTGGTACTCTGTCATTTAAGTCTCCCTGTCATCTGCAGGGATGAATCCTGTTATTCTTCCTCATTTCACATGAGGATCTGAAAGTCCAGAGAGAGTAACTTTCCCACAGCCACACAGCTAGGAGGTAGCAGAGCTGATTCAAACCCATACTGACTCTGACTCCAGGGCCCCAAATTGTGATGATTACAAAGCAACATCATAGTCATTACCTTCTTAGATACTGACAATACTCCTATGATATGGGAAAGATTAGGATTACTGAATCTATGACAGTTGCGGAAACCGAGGCTCAGCGTGGCAGGGAACAAGATACCCAAGACTGCTAGGAAGTGGCAGAGTAACAGCCTAGATCTACATGTAATACATCACCCTGCTTGTCTAAATAAGCATAGAATTTCCCATCAGACAGCCCTGGCCTTTCATAAGGAATTTTTCACACTACAAATACATAATGAGTAGTTTGATTCAAGAACAAATGATTCTGGCCTGCAATCTAGCCACTAATTGGCAAATTCATTCATCAGGGTTCCAGTAAAACTTGTTTGTTTAAAAATGAGCCATTACTGGCTGCTTATCTAATCCGAGGCAATGGATTCCGAGGCAATGGATTTAAATTGTGCATATTGATATTAATTGCCCAAGACTTGCATTTTCAAGCCCGCTCCCCCCCTCCACCCCACAGGAGAACACAAACATGGTAATTCATCAGAGGCCTCTCACAGGGCCGGCTCTGCCACTGTGTCACTGGAGTCCAAAACTCAGAGCCCACTGGCCTGTGGGAGGCTCCGTGGGTTGCAGAAGTGACATGCTGATCGCTGATGGCTGTCTCTGTTTAGAAACATTGAGCTGGCTTCTGGAACATGTCCAGATGAATCCAGGAAATTGATCCTCATTTTCAGATGGTAGGTGTTTCTCTATAATTAGGATTGAGCTCTTGTCCCCAGAAAAAAGTAACTGGCAGGAGAACTTTTTGCCCCAGGACAGTCAAACCAGAGAGCAGAGCATTTCATGTACTGGGGACCTACCTATGAAGTGGGGAGACTGACAGAATCTCATGCGAGACTCTTGCCAACCCAGATGTGCCAGGGGCCCTGCGAATCTCAGACCACGCTTCTCCTCTCAAGGGTACAGCCTGCCCCTGACCTGCCTCTCTCCTGGAGTTTGCTTATCTAAAGAATCAGGCTCTTTCATGAATCTTGCCAGGACCCCCAGGCCCAGGGCCTTCATTCTACAAAGCACACTGGCGCTCAGCCTCCTCCAGCACCAGGTGCAGGCTCACTGCCAGGCCTCTTTGGAATTCCAGTTGACTTGCAAACTTTCACCTACCCCAGCCAGAGGAACGGAGTGGCAGCTGAACTTGGCCTTCCTGCTCTTTTTCCTATTTATACATATGACAGCTGGAGTGCAGGGGCTGAGAGGATTTACCAGAGACAGAATAGGGAGCAGAACAGGCAGATCGAATGAAATCCAGGGCTGAGAGGAGAGGAGAGGTCTGCTGCGCCATGTGGGTCAGCTCCCTGGCTGGGGATTGAACTCGTGCTGCAGTGGCTGCCAGTAGCTTCATAGTGCTGAGACTTAACCCCCGCGCCACTAGGGTGGACCTAGACTTTCTCCTTTTTACAGGGGGTGTAAGAAGGGAGCATGCGGTCCTGGTGCTAATTGTCAGACATAAACAGTCCATTCTCATTATTCCTGGTGCTTACGTTCCAGGAAGTGCTTGCAAACAGTGCATTCATGAGGAGTGAGCCTCTACTTCTAGGAGAATGACAGGTTCCTTCACCAGCCTCTCGTCCCATTTTCATCAGCCGATCGATACAAAACCCTGCCTCGTGCGCGCTTCCATTGAAAGTATCATTTAATATGCACTGTTAATTCGTTCATATTGAACTTGGGGTGGGCAGCCCTGTAACTCACCTCTGAGCCCACGGCAGCCTTCCACCCTTACGCACAATGTCTAAACTTGGGGGCCACTTGAAACAATGCCATCACACACCACAATAGCAAAAGCTGAAAAATGTGGCATGTAATGGAGCAAAAGACCCAGGTGTTCAGCTCCCAGTGGGAGCTGGGCCAGGAGGGCAGAGTGTCACCTGCTCCACTTCAGGTGGGAATGCCCCTTTTGAGTGTCTCTACACATGCCCATGAGTGTCTGGGGAGCCCACAGGTGTTGGTTTGGGGGTTCAAAGACATTTTAGTGAGTAGACAAATAACAAACATAAAATCTGCGAACAATGAGGACTGACTGTACATACATCCCTGCCCCTTGGTGGAGGAGGGGGATGTGGGCAGATTCTGTGGGACAATTCAGACTGACAGCCTTTGGAAGGGCCCGATGGCTTCCCTGAGAACAGTCGGATAACTCAAGTCACAGGGCAGCTTCCTGCCCTAGGGGGTCCCTCTGTCTTGGGTGTTATATGCTGATGCCAAGGCTACTTACACTCGCCACCTCTGGGGGCTGCTAAAGGGACCTGTAGAAGCCTAAGTCCCATCCAATCACTCCACTGTGTAAAATACTATATCTCTCCTCTCTCACTCAGAGTAAAAGCCAAAGCCACTATGAGGTCCACCCATGAAACCCACCAAGCTCATCTGTGTTCGTCTGCACTTATACTATGCCTGTTCCTCCTTGTGGCCTTTGCACATGCTGTTCCCTCTGCCTGGAATGCTTTTCCCTGCAGTCCCCCAGCTCACTCTCATTTCATGCAGCTGACCTGAGGACAGCCTGTCCTGATGAACTTATCTCAAATTGCTCCCTCCAGAACTCTGTCTCCTCACGTGGTTTTACATTTCCTTAGAGCACTTATCCCCAGTGGCCACATCACATCATCCTTGTTACTCCAGGATAATGTAAGCTTTGTTTGCTCCCTGCTGAGTCCCCACAGCTTAGAATTATGACTCAAAAAATTATTGTGCTATATGCACAGATGTTGGTGAGTTTTTCCCTCTATCACCACCACCCTGTGACATTTATTCATGGACAAAGTGGAACTTAAGGATATGTGATGAAAGGTAAGGGGGGGAGCAGATGTGTGGATTAAAAAGACTATTCAGGGCCCTCCCTGGTGGCGCAGCGGGTTAGGGCACAGCACTGAGAATCTAAAAGCCGCTTCCGCATGAGTTCGATTCCCGCCTGCCCCGGAGGTGACCACATGGCGTGGCGGACCTCTCCTGACCCGCCCGCTGCTCCCCTCAGCAGTGTACTTCGTTGATCTGCCTGTTCTGTTCCCCGCTCTGTCTCTGGTGAAGCCTCTCGCCGCTCCTGAGCCTCTGGCCTGTACCCCAGTTCTGTATACACAAATAAATAAAAATTTTAAAAAAAAAAAAAAAAGACTATTCAATTGAAAAAATCTAGAGTATATTTAATGGAGAAAGAAGAACTATTATTATTGTTATTATTATGGTTATCTATGAAGTATTCCCAAATGCCAGGGATCCGACTGGAAACATCCACATACAAATTTTGTTTCATTTTCTCAAAAACAAAGTCAGGACATATGAGTCCTATTTTATAGAAATATATATGGTTTTACAGAAAACAGACCAGAAAAGTCAAGTAACTTTTCTAAGTTCACACAGCCAGTTTTCTATCACACCATGCTGCCTTCGTCACTCCATTAAAATCTGACCTTGGGCCCTCCCTGGTGGTGCAACGGGTTAGGACGCAGCACTACAAGCTGGCCACAGCCGCTTCACTGCAAGTTCAATCCCCGGCAGCGCTGGAGGAGAACCACATGGCGCCGCAGACCTCCCGGACCTGCCCGCTGCTCCCCTCAGCAATGTACTTCGTCGATCTGCCTGCTCTGCTCCCCACTCTGTCTCTGGTGAAGCCTCTCACAGCCCCTGCACCTCTGGCCTGTACCCCAGTTCTGTATGCACAAATAAATAAATCTTTGAAAAAAAAATCTGATCTTCAGGGTGTTCTGGATCTCTCAAATATCAGTCTGCCTGCCTGCCTGCCTAGTCTAGCCATCCATCAGCTATCATGTCTCTCCTTGAACCCCACGCCACATGCCTGCCCTTCCCACATGTGTAGTCTGTTCTCCAATTTTAAGAACTTCGGTGTCTTTATCCTTATTACAGGTATTCATTTGACAACTCTTCATATAAAGAGAGTTGTTTCAGAAGTGCCCGCCCTTACTAAGTCGAATTCAATAAACAACACAGTTTTTTTGTCTTTTGCCTGATCCAGCTGATGTAAGGGCCATGTTCAAAGTTATCTGGTAAGTTCTCTTTTTCTTCCCTTTTGCAGATTGTTTAATTCTTTTGAAATACAGTTAAGCTTGTGTGTTTTGGTTTGTGCCCGGATCCTTGGTGATTTTTGTTTGTTTGTTTTGAATATACGGAGCAGTGACATGGGCAGAGATAAACATAATATCTCCAGAGTACGGAAACTTTACCAAGTGATCAAGGTAAAAGTCATTAGTCCTGGGGAAAAAAAAAACAGTCTCCTGGGCCTCTCGATACCCAGCACTGAGAAGGACACCTCACTTCCTAATATTGCCTGCCCCAAATGCAGAAGCGGAGAGTAATATGAGAAAACACCAAATGAACTTAAATTGAGGGGCATCCTTCAAAATGACTAGCCTGTCCCGGGACAATTAGCAAAATCCGAATACGGATGAGGGATGACAGAATAGTATGGCTTCAATACTGAGTTTTCTGATGTTGATCCGGGTGTGGCTGAGTTTGCTAAAGGTAATGGAAGAGAAAGTTCTAGTCCTCCCAAAACACATGCAGCAAGTTAGATGGGCATTTTTGATGAGGAAAGAAAAAAAAATGTACCTGGCCTTCTTTCGGAGTAACTTCTGAGACTCGGGATAATGCACCAAAATCTCATTCAGGTCCTTCTTATCCAGAATGAAGAGGTTGGTAAAGCCATGTGCCACCACGTTAGCCGTGCGCCGGTTCCCCCCACCGATAGCCAGCAAGCTGGGGCAGAGAAGAGGGGAGGTGAGGCCCTGGGGGCTGCGGCTTTGACCCCACTAAATTCTCAGCTTCACCTTGCCCCGTGTAGGCACGAGGGGGCACACCCTGCCATGTGCTGCATCCTCAGACCCCCTGAGGACAGGGTCCCATCGATGACCCTCCCACCTCACCCCCCAACCTCAGCCCAGGCCCCCCATTTCACCCCAGCTCCCTCCAACCTTATTTCTCCAAATACAGATCCGGCTTTCAGCGTCACCAGCACAGACTTGCCATCCGGGCCACCCAGCACCTGTACCTGTCCTGCCTGGATGATGTACATCTCACGGCCTATCTCCCCCTGAAACAGAGGGGGGCCCGTCCGTCATCACCAAAGCCCACAAAAGCACACGAGGGGGAGCAGCAGCAGGTGGACACCAGGCTGGTGTCCGGCCCTGCTGTCTACACGGGCTGTGGTACGGGGTCGGACACAGTTTCCCTGTGCCTCAGTCTCCCCATCTGTGAATGAAGGGCAGTGACTGTCCGCCGCCAGCCTGACCAACAGGGTTGTGGAAGGGAAAGAGCTAGAGATGCCGGGAGATGCAGGCTGCAAGTTCCTCAGTGTACAGCCGACCAGTAAATGGTGTCTGTGCCCAACACGCAGTTCACCAGGGCACAGCGAGCATTTGCGAACTGAAACAGGAATAAGCGGTAATAATGCTGACTCTGGCACAGATGGTCCCTGCGCCAGGCACCGTGCTGAGCATTTTAGGTGACCAAGTCTACTCGACCCTAACAACCCTCTGAGGCAGGAACCCTTCGCCTAAGGTCGCGAAGCCAGGCCCACACAGTGCCACGGTTCGAGCCCAGCAGCTGGCCCATGGCTCACGGTCACCACGGATGGAGCTGTGTACCCCTGAGTGCATATGCTCAAGTCCTAACCCCAGTTCCTCAGACTGTGACCTTCCTTGCAAACAGGAACATTATAAACAACACTGGTTAATTTGTAGGAGGCCATCCTGGAGTTGGGAGGCCCCAATCAACCTTTTGTCCTTATAAACGGACAGGTGGAGAGGGATGAGCATCTACCAGCCATCTACCCGCCGAGGGAGAGGCCTGGAACTATCCTTCCCCCCGGCCTCAGCCCTGCGCACACATTACTCTTGGGGTCCAGCCTCCAGAACTGTGCAACAATGAATTTCTGTCATTTAAGCCTTCTGGTGGGTGGGCTGTTGTTACAGCAGCACTTACTAACTAATACATAGGTCTTAATCCTAAATTAAGTCAATGAACATAATGAATGAATGGCTGCTGAACTGTAGCTGGGACTGCGATCGGAAGCACCCAGCCTGCTGTATTCTTTCCAATCCTCAGGCCTTGCAGGTGGTTGCATGACCTGCGAAACGTCAGTCACACCTGGCGTGTATGAAGGAGCCAGACAGGTTAGTAATTACATGTGTGACTCGCTGACAGATGTCTAGGCATCTCATGCATGCATGCGATTCTTTAGAAAAAGGAAGAAGGGGCCCTCCCTGGTGGCGCAGCGGGTTAAAGCACAGCACTGAGAAGCTAAAGCCACTTCCGCATGAATCCGATCCACACCCCAGAGGTGATCCACAAGGCCTGACCCGCCCACTGCTCCCCTCAGCAGTGAACTTCATCAGTCCACTCTGCCTCTGGTGAATCCTCTCACCCCTCACACCTCTGGCCTGTACCCCAGTTCTGTGTGCATAAATAAATAAATCTTTAAAAAAAAAAGGAAGAAGACTTCATTTTCCTGCTTCTATGTCCAATTTGAGACAGGAGCTCCCTCTCATCTCACTCACGGGTCTTGGTTGCCCTGGTATGGGTTGGGTGTCTCAGCGAGGTGTCACTGAGTAAAACCAGACAGCAGAGGGCACCATTCACAAATATACCGACTACTCGCTTCAACTAACTGCAAGCTGATTCAATTTTCCTCTTCTGAAGCAAATTTTAAGTTACCCACAAGGATGAAAGCAGCAGCAACTGCACCTACTCCATGCCAGGCATGGTGCCAAACTCCTTTGTGTGTCCTATTCAGTCCTCACAACCACCCCATTAGGGAGGTCCTAGCAATAGCCCCACATTACCGTGAGAAGAGTAAGACTCAGAGAGGGCAAGCTACTTGCCCAAGGTTGCACAGCTAAGTGACTCCAATGTCAGACAGATCACACTAATGTTCCCAAATCTGTCTTGGACTCTCGAGCTGCAGCTTTAGCATTTTCAGCCTTCTGTAGCACCCTTCCCCAGCTCTCTGCTTCCACAAACTTCATGCAGCATGGAGACAACACCCTTGGGGTGTCTTCCAGGAGTTGCTTGGACAATATTTTCATCCCAGTACACACATCTAGTCCTATTAACAGCTCTGTAGAAAGAGGAGTGAAAACTAGTTCTTCCACTCGTTCAACCTCTCACCAGGTGACCTTGATGAATCTGACCTTGAATCCCAAAGAGTTCGAGCAGAAAGGCCCCAGATACCACCTAATCCCAAGATTCAAGCCCAAATGTTGTCCAGACTCAGGGAGCAATGTAAAGGAGTATAGGAGGGTTTGTGGGGGGCACTGGCAAGTGGAAGGGTCTGTGGCATCAGGAAAGACCATGACATCCCTTCATGGGCCTTCTCCATTGCTACTGACTCTTGCTATTCTAGGAAATGTGGCCCAGTGCCAGCAGATTTCCTGTTTCCAGCCAGACGCCTGGATTTTCATGTGAAATCTTCTAATTTTTAGGACTAATTCAACATTTTTTTAAAGATTAGCACCAGCACAGTCAGTCTATAACCTCTGGCCTGGCCCTGCCCCTTCTTCCACCTGATGGAAAGACTGGACCCTGCAAGCAGTTCTACTACCCCCCTGAAGGCTCCTCACATTCCTTTTCTGTAAAGTGGGGTTCCTGTGCTGACCCCCATGGTCTCCCGAAGGGCACTTGGAGATGCAATGCAGAACTGCAGGCACAGCCAAGTTCACTGCCTGGAGCTGGACAAAGCCTCCTCCTGGCAAGTGCCAAGCACCTTGGAGTCCTCCAGCCCAGCTGCCTGGGGACCCCCCTACCCCCCACCTCCCTGCTGACGGCCTCGCAGCTGCTAACACTCACCTTCTTGCACACATAGTCGTTAGGCAGGTAGACAACAGAGCGCAGCCTCTTCAGCATGTCAAAGATCATCTGCCGGTCACAGCCCTGCCCCAGAGAGCGGAAAGGAGCCCCATTTAGAGGAAGGGGTGGGCTCCAGGCCTCCCAGGGCCCTGAGAGTGGGGGCGCCAGCCAGGCAGTACCTGGAAGAGGGCCACTTTGCTGACGATGTCATAGTTGACGTCGATGGCGAGGTCTAACCGCATCTTGTCTGGAAGCTGCACCATTAGTTCTGACTCATCTGCAAATGAGACCTGGCAGAGGTCAGAGGCACAGCCAGCCCCCCTGGGCACAGGGTGAGGGGGCACTGGCTGGCTCTGGTCCTGCCACTCTCGTGGGGAGAGGACCCTTTACCGCTCTTGCTGATGCCTTGGCCAGAGACGCCCCAGCGAACTCCCACTCATTCTGCAGAACGCAGTGCTAATGTCACCTCCTCCAGGAAGCCCATCCCTAAGCTCCCCCAAGTAGCCAGCATGCAAGCGTCCCTGTGTGTAGCCCTGGTCACTCCCTGTATTGCAATAGTGGCCGAGTCCTCTTCCCTATTCACACCAGAGAACGGTAGAATTATTATATTAAATCCTCTAGCCACCTCCAAGGTGCCCACTACTATAATCCCCATTGCTCGTGGAGAGCAATGACCTTCCCACAGCTCTGTAGGACAGAATCAGGACCCCCCATCCAGGCCATGCGGTCCCCAAGAGAACAGGGACCGAGTCGGCAGGGCCCAGCAGAGGGCTGGCATGGAATGAGCATGGGTAACTGGAGATGGCAATGTGCTACCTGATCCTGAATCCAGCCCCTCCTGCTGCACTATTTATGGGCTCCAGCACCTAGGAGGCGAGACCCCCGGCCGGTCAGACCCTTCCTGTCCTTCACAGTGCCCTACTGAAAGGGACAGCAACGCAGAGGTGACAAGGCTGTCACTGGAATGGAGTCGGCAAGGGGGGTGGGCACGCCTGCAACCAGTGCAGTCATCGCACTAGCAATAAAGCGCAATGGAGACCACCACGCTGCGTCCCGAGTCGCCAACGCCTGCCCTCACCCCAAGCTGGCCACATAACTTCAGAAGCAAAGTTTAACATAAGGCTACCAGAAGTCTATCTACCCATCCACTGATCTATCTATGGAAGGGGGTGGGGAGAATTCCTGGTGTCCTGGTTTCAGCCCAGGTGGGCGCCTCGTGGGTTGCTGGGACTCAGTCACCTCGGAAGGAGATGCACTTGGAGTTGGGTAAAGTGAGCTGGACCAGGTGTCCAGACCCAAACCCCTGGATCTTCCAGGGTTTCCTGACGGCCCGCCTTCGGGCGTCCAGTGGGCCTCCCTGAACCCCTCTCACTTCCATGCTGGGGCTGTAGCCAGAGAGGCCGCAGAGGCCTGGGACTCTGGACACAGGACCAGCCCAGGAGGCAGGCTTGGGGGAGGGGCGTGGGGGGCCAGGCGGGAGAGGCGCCATCTTACCCAGCATGCCCTGGGAGTGCCAGGTGTACTCGTACCAGGTCTTGACCCGGTTCTGCACGGACCTGGGGATCTTGTAGAAGTTCATGTACTTCACGGTGCTGTCCATGCAGCTGCGGTAATAGGTCTGACCCGCAGTGGCGGCCCCTACCACGTCTCTCATCTGGGGCAAGAGAGGGGAGTCAGGGGGCTGCTGGGCCAGAGTGGGGTCACTGACACACTCTGGGGACTCAGGGCAACTTTATACAGACCAGGGGTGTGGGCCTGAGTGGGAGAGGGAGGTGGGGAAGGAGCGTAGACACACAACTGCTCACAAAGGTTGGTGGACAGAGCGTAGGAGCCAGCTCAGCTCTGGCCCAGCGTGGGAGAACCCCCTGGCAACCTCGGGGGGGGGGTCACAGAGGAGGGGTATCTCGCAGGAATGGCTGATTCTGGTATAAGGTAGTTCCTCAGTGCCAGAGGCCCTTTGACCTCAAGCTGGAGGACAGATGAACCCCAAGCACTGCATGATGGTGGCCTCATGTACTGGCCAGAATAGCAGATGCACCCCCATAGGTGAGAAACTCCCCCCCATGACTTCTCCCCAAGGAAATAGCCCAAATCCTCAACCTTTGCAGGAAGCTCTTCAGTCCAGCCATCCAACATATCCCTAAGGGATGGACACTCCAGGTGGGCAACCTCAGAGAGGGAAAGCCCTTGACTGGCACCCCATTTGCCCAGTGGGGCGCAGAGTCCAGGTGCCTGACTCCTGGGCCAGGGCTCTTTTCTGGTCCCACAGCAGTGAGCACAGATGAGGACCGCAGTGGGGGGAAAGGACCTGTAGGCAGGTGGGTGGGAAGCGAAAGTGGGACCCAACTACCTGTCCGATCATCACGGAGAAAGCAAAGACGCCCGTGAAGTAGTTCAGCAGCTGGAAGACAATTTCAAAGAGCGTCTCGGGGTCAGGCAGCCCACCGATGGTGATGAGGGTCTTCACAGCCCAGTAGAAGCAGCGAACGTAACTAGGGACACAAAAGAAGGTGTCCCCAGTCGTCACAGCCTGCCTATGACCCGAGTGGCCTGACTGATACACATGTGTGGAGCCCAGAGAAAAGTGCAAGCAAAACCTCCTCTATGCCGGGAGCACCCTGAGACTCGCAGAGAGGACAGGCTTGCAACGCCACCGGGTTTGGGCCCGGCCCTTATAGCTCCTGATGCCTACGCCCCTGGCATTTCCTTTCAACTTCAGTCTTTCCTTGGCTGCTCCATCATGTTGGTTATCGGCAGGCAAGAGCTGAGTCAGCGTTGGAAGGCAGCTCAAGGACCACCTTTCCTGGCCTTCCCGCTGCCCACCCACTTTCCAGATGGTGAAACTGAGGCCCCCAAAGAAAGGGACACCCAGCTGGCAAGGTCCAGAGCTGACACTGGGACCCAGCATGTCATCCTCTCCTTGGCCGAGGTCCACGAGGCATCGGGGAGGGAGGTGTAGGTGGAGGGCGCCTGTGTGTGGAAAAAGGCTTAGGAAAAGCCTGAACTTGTCCATCACGAAGCAGCCAGAGCCGTTCATGCTTCTGTCCACTCCTGCAGGCTGTACCTCCCAGGGTTCAGCACGGGCTGAGGCCCAAGGGCCTCCAAGGGGGTCAGCTGTCCTGGACCTTCCTGTCCTCCTCACAGGGCATTTGAGAGCCACCTGGAGATGACCAGGTCCCTAGACACCCACCTTCCTGGGTCCCTGTTCAGCTCCAAAATCAAGAACACCAACCAGTCGGGAAGTCACCCACTCTGGGATGACCCCAGGCTGGCCCGTGGCGTTGGAACATGGGCTCTGGAGTCAGGCTGGCCGGGCTCAAACCCAGCTCCGCTGCTTTCTAGCAGCGTAACAAGATAAATCGCTCCACCTTGCCAGGCCTCGGCCTCCTTCTCCGGAAATGGGCCTGGCAAAAGAGCATCCTGGCAGGGTAATTGAGCACAAGTGAGGAGCTAGAGGAAGGCCTGGCCCGTGGTAAGCTCTCGGTACATGCCAGCAATCAGCAGCTTGCTGTCACTGGGGGCGGGCACACGTCTGTGGACACAAGATCAACAGACCAGCCTACGACTCAAGAAGCTCAAATCTAGGAACGGGCATGTCTGTGTGCAGAGGGCAGGGAAGGGAGACAAGGAGGTCGTCGGGTGACACAAGCTATGCAACGTCTATCGTCTACAGATTCCGGGTAGATCGGGAAAAGCTCTGAAAAATCAGCCTTTCCACGCTAACTTATGTTCTGACCTCCCTTTTTTGTATAATCGTAATATCAAAATATTCTGAGCAACCTTCAGCTTACAATTGGATTGCCTCAGCCTCAGGAGGCGCTACCTGGCCCTGACAAGCAAGCACTGCACCAGGGTGAGAAATTCCTCTGGAAGTCAAAAGTCATTAAACAACTGGCTGATTAATAAAGACAAATGGCTGTTACTGCAAAGTCTCTCACCGCCAGACCGAGGAAAACCCAAATCTTATCACTCAATCTCTCATAGCCTTCTATTCAGTTTCTAAATAACCGCTCAAGCTTTCTACTATCTAGTCTTTGGATATGGAAATTTACCCACGTCGCCTAAGCAGAGCTAATCAGGTTTTCTACCACCTAGGCTTCAAAAAAACTCACTTAAACTTTTTAACAAGTTTTTCAAAGAACCTTATCTTAATTAGATTTACAAGAAATTTCCTCTTCCTGCCCTCACTTTACTTTACCCCCTAGGATGTCTCTTTGAGAATGAAAGCCGTTAAGTAATAGATAATGTTTCAGGGACTTTATTTTGGTTAATCTTTACTGTGGTAAATATAGTAATATTAGTCTTAAACTTTGTGAATCTGTGTACCTGTTTTAACCTTGATAGATTGATTTTTAAAATGTTATAATCTCAACTGAAGATCAAACGACCCCAGACTATTCTTAGCACAAAGGTGATTGTGATCTCAGCCCACTTCATATGCTAATGTCATCCCTCCGCCTGCCTGAAGTGTATAAAATAAACCTCTGCTGAAGGCAGAGCAGGAAGACTTGCACCCAACTCCCATTCCCGTGTCTTCCTCGTGCCCGGTCCCCTTTTTTCCCTTTCCCCCCTTTTTTTAGGAATCTCTGCTCGCCGACGCCATTCCCATCTGCCTGTTCTGCCCCCCAGTAATCCGTGATTGGGGACAAAGTCTCTGACAGTGGGGAAGCTGGGGTGGGGGTTCTGCCTCTGACTAGCTTCCAGGTCTGGAGCAAGGATCTGGGGCCCCCTGCACCTCACAGCCACTGGTGTGAGGACATGGGGAGCGGAGTCGTGCCGGTCCTGGCCGCCAGAGGGCGTGTGAGGCCGCCGTTAGCAGGCCGGGGCTGGGGGCTCTCCATGTGGTGGGTGTGAGGAAGTGGGACCACCCAAGGAAAGAAGACAGGGAATAAGCTGTCCAGTCTTCCTGATCGGAAGACTCTCCGTGGCAAGGAATATCCTGAGGTGCTGTTTCTCACGTGTGCTGGATTGGGGGCGCTGAGTGGGTCTTTTGAGCAGGGCTTGTTCACCCCAGAACTCCCTTCTGCCTGGATCATGGCAGGTACCGTCTAGACCAAAATGAGACCAGCCCCCTGGAACTGCCAGTGAGCCAGAAATGTCTCCCCTCCTCACAACTGGGGGAAACGGGGCAGTCCTGGTACAACATCAGCTTAGTGAAGACATGAGGACTCAGGTCTTATCATGTCCGTGATTCTTTGGTAGCAAAGTGGCCTGGGCTACATGGCGTGGCGTACTGTGCCGTGAACGTGGCCCCCGGACGGTGACGGCTCACCTGTTCCCCACACCATCGTAGACCCAGTGTGTGGAGCCGATGCCCTGGTAGTCCGACGCCCAGTAATACAGACAGGAGTTCACATGTAAACTGTAGAGCAGGTAGGCGGTGGTCCTGATCACTCTGCAGGAGAGGAAGCGTAGGAAGCAGCAGAAAGGGTGGGGTGCCCTGTCTCCCCAGGGGCGGGGACTGCGGAGAATAAGCCAGCCTTCCCCTCTCCAGCCCACACTGAGTTGGTCCCTTGGAAGCATCAGCTGCCAGGCGGGATGGATGCTGGCCCGGGGCCCTCTGGGTGGGTGACCGCATGCCCTCTCACAAATTCGGAGGGGCAGTGCAGGGACAGCGTTGCTGCATGGAGCTGGCACAGCGCTCCATGCAGACGATTTGGGGGCACCCGAGAAGGCAGGTGTCGAGGAGAGGGACAGATGGTCAGAGAAATGGGGAGCAGAGCTTGTCCCCGAGCGTGACGTGACTGGTCTGGCACCCCATCCTCGGATGTCCCTGATGGCCTACTGTGTCCTTACAAACGTCACCCAATATTTGAGCTGGGTGCTGGGGGTCCATTCCCTTAAGGAGACCAAAATGAGACCAGCCCCCTGGAAGTGTCGGTGAGCTGGACATGGCAACCTATGTCTGCCCTCCTCACGACTGGGGAAAATGGGACAGTCCTGGGGTTCTAAAAAACAGACAACCCTTGGAGGGGAAGCAGGAAGAGACCCTGCTTCCGGCGGGCCTGCAGAGCCAGAGGGCTGGTGAGAAGAAGCACCGTGGGCAGGGGATGTCTGCCTCCATTCTCACTGCCAAAGCCAGCCCGGGTCCTTGTGTGTGCACAGATGTGTGTGCCGTATGCATCATACAGTTCGTGTGCCCGTGTGGGTGCAGGAGTCGGGAGTCTCACCTGTAAACGTAGGCTTTGCTGAGGATGGCTTCCAGGCGGTTGTTAAACTCAAAGAAGGCCAGGTACTGGGGTGAAGAGCAAAGTATCAGGACCACGTGGGATGGCTGTGCACAGCACCCCGACCCGCTCCGGGCGCTGAGAGGACTGAGGGTGCTTGCTGCAGTCCCTGGTGGGAGGGGCTGAGAGAAAGTGTTCAGAACCAGAGGTCCTGAGCTACTGCAGGCCCATCCGGAATGCGGAATGCGATGGAAAAGATGGCCCACCTTCCGTAGAAAGTTCACCGGGGTTCTAAATGAAGGCGCCAGAGCGAAGCACACTCACCTCAGCGAGGGCCCCCTGCACCCCAACTCCCACTTCCCAAGTGAGGAAGTGACAGCTGCAGCCCCCAGGGGCCAGCACAGGTCACAGGAGGCTGCCGCCTCCTTCCAGCCTCCCTTCCTCCCCGCAGCCAGGAAGCTCCTCCGGGCATCCCTGCCCGATGCCAACAAGATGCGCTTTCTTTCAAAGCTTTCTTCCTCTTTTGCTCTGCCCTGTTTCTCTGGGTGATTAAAGGTCATTGTGCAGGCTTTTTTAGTAAGTCCCCTCATCACTATTTTTTAAAAATACTATAATAGTTTATTTTTACATCATTTTGTGCCTTTTTCCAGATCAGTTGCAATCCCCGTGGGCTTCCCATCACCAAATCACCCATGTGCCATCACCACAGTCCAGGGCACTCTCCCGCCCCATTTTTGATTCCAGCTCCCACTCACCCCCACAAAATGTCTCTGGTATATAGCTGTTCATTATTATTATTATTTTCTGCCCTGGTCCTTTAACTATGAGGGAAACCATCCGGTATTTTTCCTTTTCTTTCTGACTTATTTCACTAAGCATGATCCCTTCCAGCTCCATCCATGTTGCTGCAAAAGACATGTGCCCTCATCACTATTTTAAGGAAGAGCTATCAAGCATCAAGGAGAAGAAAAATGAATTTAATTGGCTGACCAAAAAATAAAACCCAGCTGGGGAATCTCTCTGGCTGTTCAGCCTGGTCCTTTGGAAGGACCGATGTTGGGTCTCTGCAGTCTCTGGTCTCTGGCCACCTCATCACCCTCAGAGAACACCAGCTCCCCAAAGGCAGCAGAAACTCTAATGACACTGAACCACAATAAGGAAACAGGCTTCTGACTCCGCATTCCAACCCTCCCTGCCACTTCCTGGGTCCTATGACTTGGGCGAGTCCAGTCCCCCCTGCTTTCAAAGCCTCAGTTTCCCCAACTTTGGAAGGAGACCACCAAAAACCAGAAATCCCTCTGTTGGGAGTCTCTGTGATAACTGAAAGCATTGACAGAGGAGAGAGACGGTCGGGGTTTAAATCCAGACTCCACTCCATCCGACCCGTGTAAGGCTAAGCAAGTTACTTAGCCTCTCTGGGCCTCAGCTTCTCGTGTGTAGAATGATAGTAATAACCCACCCACAGGAGCCACGTCAGGACAAGCCTGTGTGAAGCACCAACTCCCCTGGGCCCCCCTCCTGGCCCCTCGCACCCCCTCCCTGCACGCTCAGGCTCAGGGCTGGCTCCCAGGTGCGGGAAGCAGGTCTGGGAAGACGCTGCTCTTCTTACCTTCAAACAGCGAGGCAAGCGGAGGAGGGGATTCACGCCCATTTTCAAGTAGAGAAAGTCCAAGGGCAGGAGGCAGAGCACGTCCATCTGAAACCGCAGCCGACGCCCCAGTGTGCAAGCCAGGTAACCCAGGGATGTGGGGGTACGGTGGGGGGGGACAGCGGTCTCAGCGGAAGCGGCTTGGAATGCCCCAGGGAGCCCCACAGCTGAGGGCGGGCGAGGAGCCTCTGCCGGAAAGCCCCAGCTTGGCTCCCCGGGCACTGCCGGCCCCGATGGGGACCACGTCACCCTGCCCCCAGAGCAGCCAGACCAGGAGAACCCTCTGAGGCCCAGTGGCAGCGAGCACCCCTGCACCCACCTTAAAGCGGCGAGATTTCAGGTAGTTCTTGCTCATCTCCTTCTTGTCCGTCTGCAAGAGAATGAGCCGTGAGCGTGAGCGTGGGGTGGCTGTGAGCACCAGCAGAGGCCCCAGCACCCACCTGCGGGACAGGAAAGACCCTCTGTGCACGAGCTGAGCATCAGTGAAAGCCTTGTGGCCACAGGTGAGGAGGACTAGCCGCCCTGGAGGAAGCCTGCGGTCACCAGGCTGGCAAGTGAGGGCGCTGGTTTTGCATCTTAGTTACTGAGGAACTGACAGCCGCCCGGATTCACCAGGGAAGAGGCTGCCCAAGGAATTGGTTTTCTGCTAAACTGTTTTAGACACACATCCTCCGCCAGGATGGGACCTGCCAGCAGTGAAGTGCTGGACGCTGTGCCCCTCAGTGACGAGCTGGGAGCGACACTGCTGCCATCTTACAGGTGAGGAGCCTGAGGATGGAATAAGTGGTACAGCTTGTGGAGGGGGCCGGGATCTGAAGCTGAGGCCCACTGCACAAAGAAGCCACTTTGTCTATCTTGTCTACCATCACCTCCCGGAGGCTCTGGCTACAGGGCCTCCTCCCAGGCACCCGGAGACACCCCAAACTGTGGTGACTCACAATGATGTCCCCCCCTCTGACAAACTGCAGGCGCAGCTGGAACACAGTGATGTCCAGGAGGTAGATGAGGTCGCACAAGTAGTCCATCATCAGCCAGAGGTGGATATTGTCTGACGTCTGGTAGGGGAAGGCCCAGCGCACAGGAATCAGCCAGCAATTCCAGTTCCAGGCCAGCACCACAAAGAACAGCCACAGGATGTACATCAGGTCTGGCGGGGAGGGAGAAGGCAGGAATGTGCCAGAATGTCAAGCAGAGAGGGCTCCTCCTGGTAGGGGCTTCCCTCTTCCCACATGTTCCCACGTTCCCGTAGAAATACAGGTGGCTCTTCTGTAACTTAGGGGCAAGGTAAAACTAGCTTTGATTCAGAAATAAATGACTGACTGGCCCTAATAAATCATAGCATTCTGAGGAAGGGGGTGGGGGCATCTAAGATAATAGCTAGCAAGAAAATGATTTTGCTTTAATTCTTACTGAAATTATTTCCCCAAAATATATTTCTAGACTTAGTAAAGCATTCACAGGGGATGGACAGATGGATGGAAGGAGAGATGGACAGATGAAGGTGGATGGACGGATGGGTGTATGGATAGGCAGATGGATTGATGGATGGGTGGATGGATGGTTGGGCAGACGGACAGATGCATGGAGATGGATGGATGTATGAACAGATGGACGGGTGGACAGGTGGGTGGATGGGTGGGTGGGTGGGTGGATGGGTGGGTGAGTGGATGGATGGATGGATGTGGATGGATATATTAACAGATGGGTGGATGGACAGTTGGACAGAGGGATAGATGGATGGAAACATAGGGAGAGATGGATGAGTATGGATGGATGGACAGACAGACAGACAAGTGGACAGACAGATGGAGAGCTACCATAGGTCACTTCTAGAGGCCACTGGGCACGGGGTTGGAGTGATGCCTCCCAGATGACTTCTTGTGTGACCTTGGGAAAGTCCTTCTCCGGCACCTGCCCCCCTCAAAGAAGTCACACCAAGAAACTAAACTGTGAAGTGCTGTGCACACATGAAGGCTCAGTATTCCTGAGGAACAGGACGTGACTTTAAAGGAACACGAGAGGAATTCACTTCAAAATGGAGGAACTTCTGCCCTTTCCTACCCAGAACAGCAGCTTTGGGAAAGAAACAGCAGAAGCAGGGCAGACCTGGCCAACTGTGAGGAGCCTGGGTCTGCCACTGGCTAGTTGTGTCCTAGGCCAGTTAGCGGCTCTGCGCCTCAGTTTCCTTATGTGTAAGGTGGGTGTGAACTGTTCCTCTTCAGGGATTCTGTTTGCATTGGGGTCAAGAGCCTTCCCACCCACCTCCTGCACGCTCCTCCTCCACTCCCCTCCTGCCCCTTAGATCACAAGATGGCGAGGCCCAGTGCCCACCCGGGACTCACTGGTCAGCGGGTCAATGCTCTGAGGGAACCGGTACTTCTTCCAGGGCCGGCGCTTGAACTTGCAGCACAGCATCTCACAGTAGTGCTCCTCGGCCGGCTCCACGTCGGCCGGCTTCACCTCCGGGGCTGGCTCCGGGGTCTTCTTGGATGGGGCTATGGGGTGGCAGTCACGTCTCACCCAGCGCTGAGGCGCAGGTAGAGGTACAGAGCACATACAGCGGCAGACCCGGGCCCAGGACAAGGGCACCCAGCTACCGTTGCTTCCAGTCTGGAGTTTCCAGAACAGGTATTTCTGGGCAAGCTGCATGTTTTTTTTTTTTTTTTTCTTTAAAGATTTATTTATTTATTCATATAGAACTGGGGTACAGGCCAGAGATGCGGAGGGTGAGAAGATTCACCAGAGACAGAGTGGGGAGCAGAACAGGCAGATCTACGAAGTACACTGCTGAGGGGAGCAGCGGGCGGGTCAGGAGAGGTCTGCCACACCATGTGGTCTCCTCCGGGGCAGGCGGGAATCGAACTCATGCGGAAGTGGCTTTAGCTTCTCAGTGCAGTGCTTTAACCCGCTGCGCCACCAGGGAGGGCCCAGGCTGCATGTTTTAATGGGGTGTCTGCTTGTGTCTATGTGTGGGCCCCTGTTTCCCTCTGGAGGGCTGGAGTATCTTATGCCCGGGACTTCCCCCACCCAGGGTCAGACGTCAGGGAGACTCCAAGTTTCTCAGAGCAGGAGTCTCCGCTCGTTTGTCCCTAAAACAAGACACTGGGTGGACTCTGCTTTCATTTGCATGGCGGTGATGGCTGTTGGCTCTGGAGAGTGGCCCCTGTGGGTTCAAGATGGCTGTGTTTCTAGCTTAGGTCTGTGAATGGGGCTCCGCGAGGCCCATTGTCGGCACCATGAGTTATAAGGTGTAGCTCTTTTCTGGAAAGACCTAGAAGGCCTCCCTCATAAGAGGGCGTGGTTTGTATTTCCTCCTTGGGACCTCAAAAGCAAGAAACCATCAGTAGCCCCATCGGAATATTGCAGTGGAAACCTCTGAAAAATCAGCTCTCCAGTTCTAGCGGAGTCTAAGAGTTGGGGACACGCCTTGGGGTGACCCACTGCCTGTCAGTGGGAAGGGAGCAGGTCAATGAGGGTGCTTTTCCTGCAGAAGGGGGAGCCAAGTATAGCTGAGTCATTGGCCTGAATTTTCACCTGGCTACACAGCTAACTTGGTGCATGACAATCACAGTCCAGAGAGGGACCCTGCGCTTCTCTTGTGCACCCCATCATTTCCGGGGGACCATGAGTTGACAGGGGAATTTAGGAGCCCCACTCCACCCCTGACCAGGTGGGCACTCCCCAGCTCCAGACTCACAGGGCTTGGGGGTCTCCTCATCGGAAGTGACATCGGGGTCGATGAGTTTCTCCTTCACCTTCTCTGTACGTTCCTTGAAAAGCTTCACCAGTTCCTGGAGCCGGTCATTGATAATGGCGCTGTTCTGGCTGGCTGTGGAGGCTGCACGGTCCTGGCCACTGTGGAAACATCCGCTGAAGCTGAGCAGCTGAGAGGGAAGGGACCCCGTGTCCCCGGACAAGGACCCACCTGGCCTGAAGAAGGAAACCTGCCTCAGAGCTACTTTAAGGTCTCCTTGGAGGAAATTCGGCCTGGGGTAGAGCCTGGCGCGGTGGCCCAACGTCTAGAAAATGGACCACGCTGCCTCTGATTCAGATAAGTCACTCTGAATAGAGTGATTCTTCCTGAAATTGAGGGGGGGACTGTTGAACTCAGTTCAGGGCTCCCAGTTTGGGGTCACAGGAGATAATCCAGGACAGGTCACAGAGGATGGGGCTACTTTATCAGGCTTAGGAAATGATAAGAAAAAACAACACAGATATACTATATAATCCTTTAGCTTTATGATTTAACTTTAAGAATTAAATGTGATGAATTTGCAGAAAAAGAGAAAGAAACAGAGAGGGAATGAATGAGGGGCTGCCTATGCTTCTGCTCAGGGTGGGTGGGGACCCTGGGGGAGCTGAGACAGCCGTGCAAACCAGTGTGACCGACACACTGAGTGGAGTGGAGGACTCATGTATACAGACTTCCCCCCGCAGAGATCCCCGTTTTCCCTTGGCATCGAAATTCCAGTCAACCATCCCTCTTGGGTTCAGTTGAGGAAGCCAGCCTGAAGACAACCTGTGGTGGGTGTTGATGGGACACAGTACCCAGATGTGGTAGAGGCACGAGCCCACGTCATTCGCACCACGCAGGCAGGGCCACATTTCCCAGGTGTGGCCATGTGAGCACTCACCAGTGAAATGTGAGTAACATGCTACTTGCGACTCACTAGACCTGGTGCTGTCCCTTTCTAGTGGTGACAGCAGGATCTTCGAAGACACATCAAGGTAGCAGAGAGACTGTTGGCTGGGTTCCTGAATGACTGCATGGAGCAGAGCTCTCCACCGCCCTAAAACATAGCCCTGGTGGCACCGGTGTGACATCTAAGGCAGCTTTGGTTTCTTAAGACCCTGAATCTTTGGGGTCTATTTGTTACAGCAGCTTCACCTACCTAATACATGCATCCCCATATTGACCTTATTAAGACTTTTCAAGGGTAATATTGAATATTAGACTTGCCTATTCTAACATTATTTCTGCTTATTTTGTGATATTAGGTTCCAACCTTATCCCTTTCCCACTGTGTAAGATGTGACCCCCACCATATGCCAAAATGGGCAACTGGGTTTTAGGTGAAACAGATAATTTCCTGTTCCTTTAGCTTTCCTGTGCTTTCCATGGCTCTGTTAAACATAGGCTCCAAAATTATGGGTTAGTTTCCTGCAGGCACCCTAGAAGCTGTGACCGGGAGCTTGGTGGGGATCCCAGGCCACAGCTCATTTCTCCATTGACCCAACCTTGGCAGTCAGATGTCAGCGATACCAGTCCTAAGACTTCACGTGACCTCCAAACACTGTTCCTCAGACCAGCTGCCTCCAGCTCACCTGGGCCTTCCCAGGGCCGCCTGGCTGGACTCAACTGGCCAGCAAGAAGCTGCCTGGGTTCATTTCTGCCCAGCAGCCACAGGCAAATCTTCCTTCTGCACATGCACCGCCCTTCGCATGCTTATTCTCCCCGCCCTTCTGACTCTGAGACCCCAGAGGGGACCCCACTCACTCGGTGTCCTGTGGGGTAGTCGGATCTGACCAGGCGGCCACAGGAGACTCAGCTGGTGACAACGCCTTGAGCTCTTCGGCGTCATCGTCCTGGGAGGGCAGCCTCTTCCTGCAAGGACACAGACCGGAAAGGCCAGTGAAGCCAGGGGCCCGGGGGGAAGTGCATCGACTCCAAGTCCTTCGGATCAACTCCAAGTCAGCCTGAGTGAATCCAAGGGGGTGCTGAGGCAGGGGGTGCTACTGCTGAAGGGTCCCCATTTCCCTGCAGGGGACCCAAGAGGGGAAGGAGGTACAGGCGCCTCTGGACCTCAGCATCGTGCATCAGCCTGGGACAGTAACCGCTCTGACTTGGATGGGTGGGTGAAATGACGGATGGGTGGTCGGTGAGTGGAGGGGAGGAGGGAGGAAGAGATGGGTGGATGGATGACAGGAACAAGCCAGCCACAGACGCCCCCACCCCGCACCCCCATAAGCAGAGGCAGGAGGCTCCAATCTAGGCAGGAATCAGAACCAAGGCGGGGGGGAGGGGCTGGACACCAACTTGCGGAGTGGCCCTGGGCCAGCCGCCTCCCCTCTGCTCCCCTTCGGGCCCTTTCCTCATCTGACAAATGGAAGCACAATGCTGGAAAAAGGCCAAGAGAAGCATCAAAGCTGACCTGTGGGTCCCCGTGGCCGACCCCGGGACGGCGAGGGTGTCTGACTTGGCTGGAGAAGGCGGCGGCAGCACGGGGGAGGGGGGCTTCTCCTCCACGATGAGGGGGCGGCTGTCGGCGTCAGCATCTTCCACCTGCACCTCCGGGTGCTCTTTCGTGGCAGCCACTGGGGGGAAGACGGAGGGGGCAGAGTCAGGGAGAGAGAGGCCGGTCTGGCCGGCTGTGTGTCGCAGAAAGCCGCAGGAAGCCCGTGTCGGGGTCTGCAGCCTCTCCTCCCAAGCGGCCCCCAGGGAGCGCCATGCAGGAGAGCAAGAAAGCCCAGGCCACGGGCCACCCCAGTCACAAGGCGGGGAGCCGCGGGAGAAGCCGTTACAGCTCAGGAGCTGGCGGTCCTGGACACAGCCCAGAACCCGCTCTCCAAAGCGCAGTGTGGCTCCCCAACCTGGAGAAGCGTCAAGGGCCCGGATCGAGGACACCAGGCTGGTGGAGGGACACAAGGAGTCCCTGAGTCCCAGCACCTGGCCTGGCCAAGCCTGGCTCAGCTGCTTCCCCTCTGTGGGTCTCAGGGGCCCCAGCTCAAAGTAGGGGTGACCATGCCTCCCAGGCCCGGGGGCAAGAGGACACAAGTTGTCCTTCTGTGGAGACACCTGCAATGGAGGTGCAAATGGAGCGCAAACTTATTCTGCAGCGTGTGTCTCCCTGACTGGATACATTTGGGTGGTTCCTTGTTTTTGTACATCCAGGAGCACCAGAGACTCATCAGCTCCATCCCTCTCCCGGGCTCTGAAAGGCCTGGGGCCGTGTCCCACTGAAGTGAGTGGTCCCACAGAGCCTGGCACGGCCTGCCCGGGACACTCATCCACCCCAGGGCCTGTGGGGATGGGAGTTTCCTGAGGTACAGCTCAGAGGATGCTGGGGGGCTCGCAAAGGCCCAGACACCCTCTACACACAGGGCGGGGGACCCCCAACAGCAGCCAGAAGCAGCTGGGGCTCCATAGGCAGGTGCATATTTTTTTCCAGTGGGGAAGGGGGCATCTTGGGGTGTTTGTATGTGTGTGTGCCTGTTGAGGTAACACTGACTTACAACACTAGATACATTTCAGGGCCCAGGTTCACACCTCCACAAACGGTCCCATACGGCCCCCACCACCAAAGACTTAGCAATCCTCCACCATAGTCCAAAGCTTCAGGGCTGCTGAGTGACCCCCAGCCTGGTCCCCATGGGGCAGACAGTGCCCGGCCTCTGCATCCAAGAGGCTGGCTCGGGAGCCTGCACCCCCACCCCCAGCAACTGCCTCATCGGGAGTCAGACTGTGCCACCCCAGTCCTCCCAGAAAGGACAGCACCCCTAAGCCTGCTATCTTATTTCCCACCAGCTTGGCAAAGCAGAAATTGAAACTAGAAATGATATTAGTTCGTATTATATTGATTTAGAGAGCAGGGATAATACTATTAAAAATATAAAGAATAAGATTGCATGATTAAATTAGTTTAGATGATAATAATATTTACTGTTAAGCACTTCCTATGTGCCTGCCAAGCATTTGTTTCACTGAACTTGCGGTGCTTTGTATATATTAACTCCCCCTCTTCCTGGCCACCCTGCCAGGGCCTTGTTATTTCTATTCCCGTTTGGTGGGTAAGGAAAATGAAGCAGAGGTGTGGGGAAAACTGGCAGTGGAACCAGAATTTGGATGCAGCAGCCTGGCTCTGGTGCTCAGACTCTTGCCCACCGAGAGGTCGTGACCAGCACGCACTGAAAGGAGAGGAGGCTCCCTACACCTGCCGTCACCCTGTCTGCAGCCCCTCAGCCCACTGGCCCAGGACTCGGGGGACATTTCCAAAGGCTGGAGCTCCCCGATGCTCAGGGACACACAAGACGCAGACAAAGCAAGGATAACGTGGTGGGAGAGCATTCGTCTGTTTTAACTCTCGCTGGACATGGAATGAGCAGAGAAGTCTCTGTTAATGCCACACCAGCCTCCAGCACCCTCCCCCCACCCCCGACACCTCCTAAGCCCACTCTTAGGCCAGGAGAGAAGACCTCAGTGGAGAGCCCTCAGCAGACCAGCAGATTTCCCTAGAAACCATCAGCACAACTTTGTTTTCAGTGTTTCTGGTTATTTCTAGATAGGGCTTCAATTTATGGCAAACCATGCTTTGATCTATAGGGAGGTCAAGTTTCTTGTTTGAATACACTTAATTAAACTTTAGAAAAAGTGAATCTGGGGAAAGAAAAAGTCAGCAAGTAAAGGGAGCAGTTTGTGGGGGTGGAGTTGGGACCGTTAGTGTGAGTAGATTTAGGGTTTGCCCAGTGGACGGACATGGGGACGCCATCCCTTGCCCCGCTGGGGTGATTCGTGGGCGTCCTCACTCCCCACTCTGTGCCCACCCCAAGCCAGGTATAAAGGAGGAGAGAGGGGCAAGGAAAGATTCAGTTCGACCTGCCTGTTCATCACAGAGACCCCCTTGCCTGGCATCATCCCCCAAACAAACGACAAGGAAAAGTGGAGTGGTCTGGCTGGAGTCAGAAGGTGACAGAGTCACCAAGAAGGTGCCAGGATGACCCCCAAGGACTCTATCCTCAGCCAGCAAGCACCCAGCAGCTGAAGGCCACTGTGGGGCCCTGTCAAAGCCAAGTGGATCCCTGCAGTGGGCCCCTGGTCTCTGTGCTGGCACCTGGGGGCTGTCTTTGCCTGAGAGGGGTTTGCTGGAATGATATCAATAATCCTCAGAAAGTCTTCTCCCAGCCAACTCACAAGGGCGGTAGATTCTGTCTGCAGGAGACCCTCTCCCCCAATTCTTTATGCTCTATTCTCCTCCGCTTACTCTTCTTGGTCACCCAGCTCCCTGCCCCAATCTCTTGCTCTGCAGAGTTGAGCGACTTATTTAAACTCGAGTGTGAATGACTACCTATCAGAAAAATAATGATCTGCAGAAAGCTTTAACTAACCCAAAGAAATGAATTGCTAATTGTGGGATTTTAGCCACCAAGAGAAGGGGATCAACATCTTTCAAGTCACTACAGAGTAAGATAAAGGCATTGATCAGCAGAGGAGGAAGGGGTGGTTCCCATGAGCCCAACCAGCAGCCCCAGACCATGCGTGGCACCCAGGCTGGGTCAGCACAAGCCATGCAGAAACACACATCCCTGCGTGCATGCTGGGGGGTCGAGGTCACGCTACCTAGGCGACGCACAGAGCTCCTGGTTTCCTTGGCGAAGCTGGAGTTGGACAAAGTTGTTCTCCGGGCGACGAGGACAGGGATGCGGGTGAGGGCTGGGCGGTAGCTGGGCACATTGGGGAGATGGTCCGCTAGGTTTGGAGGGGCAGGTCCCGGGGCCGCCTGGCCAGGCAGCTGGTCCTGAACCAGGCGATTCAGCTCCATGTCCCGGCCTGGTTTAGCCATGGTGCTGGGGCCAGCGGGTCTCGGGCAGAAGCAGGGCCCTGGAGGCTGCAAGCGGGAGCTCGGGCTTGGACCAGGCAAGGGAGGGCTGCTCCTCCCTGCCAGCACTGACACAGACCTTGGGCGGCAGCCCCGCCCAAGGTCTAGGCATCACTCTCACCCGGGGAGTCCCGCCGTGGCTCACCCCATCTTGGAAGCGTCACCAGAGTGAGGGGCCGGTCCACCCAACAGCTCTGGCGGGCAGTCCCCGACCCCCAGCTTCTCATGTTCTTTCTCTGCTAACCGACCCCCCAAGCCTTTCCCACCTCAGGCTCTCAGGCTCTGAGACTTAGAGACACGGGACTCAAGCATTCCCAGCCAGATTTCCAGGAAACTCAGGAGCTTAATTTCACAACCAAGCAGAAGGGAGGCTTTCCCCAGGGCCCTGGCTCCCAAGCTGGCCTGCCTAGGGCAGCCTCGGGGAGGTCTGGCAATGTCTGTAGCCCAGCCCCAGGCTGCAGATTCTAACCATGGTGCAGACATAGCAGCTAAGAGCTGGGGCTCAAGGCCACTGGGGCTCAAGGCCACTGCCTCCCGGACACGCAGGCGCAGACCGAGGACCAGGAAATCTGGTTTGAGTGCAGATATGCTCAGCAGGCCCAGGCAGGACCTGAGATTCTGCATTTTCAGTTCCTTCCCTACAGCCTTGTGCTGAAGCTGACGAGGCGAGACAAGCTCAGGCCACAGGGTGGGAGACCAGGCTCCAGCCCCATCTCGGGGGCTGGCGGGCCTCTCCCTCAAAGCCAGCCAGCGGCTGGGTGCTTTCAGTGTGCCGTCCCCCTTCTCTGTCTCCCAACAGCCCAGCAAGGCAGGGGTGCTTGCTGCCCTGTTTTCCTGATCTAGAAGTCAGGAGAAGCCAGAGCGCCGGCTCCGAGTCACAGAGAGGCGGCAGGAGGCTCCGTGAGTGGAACGTGGGTCTGGCCCTTGACTCGGCCGCCTCCTCCCCACAGGGGCCCCACATTCTCATCTGTAAATGGCCCATCTGCCTCCCAGGGCAGCCGGCACACTGGCGGCTCAAGGAACAGCGCGGTTTGGAAGGAGCCGGCGTCCAGCCCTGGACACTGGCCCCACCATCGAGGAGCTGTCGGGGCAGGGGTGCGTGGCGGGTAGTGGCCGAGCGTCTGCAGGGGACTCCTGCCGGGGTCAGCTCGACGAGAGGCGAGGAGTCTGGGGCGTGCCTCGGCAAGGGCGGCCCCGGCCCCGCTGGACGTGTGGCACTGAGCTGACCGGGAGCCCGGAGAGCCGCAGCCCTGGCGAGGGCTAGGGGCGTCAGGAGGGATCGACTGGAGTTCAGGAGTCAAAGTGCCGTTCCCCCGGGGGTTGTTATTTCTTTTTCTCCTGCTGCGGTATTCTCCATAAAACACTCTAAATGTCCAGCGCACGGCTGCCCCCCACATTCGCCCACCACCCCATGCCTATCCCCACGGGGGGGGGGGGCTAGTCTCCATCCACCTGTGTCCAATCAGCCCCTCCTCCCAGCCCACCTCCCACTGCCAGAGTGGAGGGACATTTTCTTCTTGCATTTTGTTTCTTTGCGGGCCAGGTATGAGTGAAATCATACAGCACTGGTCACTGAGCAGAAGTGCCCAGCACCAGAGGGGGCTGGGCTGAAGAAGGCGTGGCCCAGTACAGTGGAGGGTACCCCTAGAGCCATTTGGAAATGGCGTGACCCCAAGATGCAGGGGCTCTCGGGAGGGTGGAGTTAGAGGGAGGCCGCTCAGCCTGAAAGTATCCCAGATGCTCGGTGCAGCTGCACCCCGCCCCCCCTCCCACCCCCCCACCTCCGCACCTACCTCCTGAGCTGGTGGCTGGGGTCTCCCGCAGCGCCTGCAAAACACCAAGTGGAAACAGGAGCTGGGGCCGCCCACCACCCCCCGCCCCCGCCTACCGGGCCTGTCGGGACACCTCAGGCGTCCTCTTGAGCCGGCTCTACTCCCTGCCCTGACCTGACGTGCTGGTCAGGTCTATTCCCTGCCCTGGCATGCTGGCCCTGCCTTCTGGGACACCCTGGGCAGTGGCCTCGGCCCGCAGAGAGCAGTGCACATGCACCCCGGCCCCAACACCTGGACTTGTCCCCTGGAAGAGGGGACCTCCTGCACACAGCCCAAGCGGCTGCCCCGGCACCCCACTGGGCACTTCACTGCCCTGTGCACAGCTGGGTACACCCCCAGGTTGTACCCCCATTTAAAAAGTGGGGGCTACAAGTTGTGGCCCCTTTTACAAAGGTGGCCACTGAGGCCTGGCGTGGGAAGGTCCGTTGTCCAGGTCCACCTACCTCCCTCCCCCAGCCGTGTCACCTAAGACCCTCGGCGACCCCAGCAGACCCCTGATGTGAGCAGGGCCTTACCCCCCGTCTGGTGGGCATCTCACCCACTGAAAATCCCCTGTAAACAAAGTAGCCAAAGCCCAGCCCCTCCCACCGGTGCCAGCCCATGCCCGGAGGCCTCCAGAGAGCCTGGCCTGCGGCTACATACCTGGCGTGGGGCGCTCCTGGCCTGGGTTCCGCCTATCTCACTTGGGTCCTGGCCGATCTGCACCACCAGACAGCTATCCAGCAGGACACTGTATACCCAGGGGCAGGAGGAGAGGGTCTGGGTGAGAGGTGTTACACTATCCCTGCCCTGCAAGTGCCAGGTTCTGTGCCTGAGCCACGTACAGAGATGCCAGGAGTAGATCCTCGCCAGCACGGGGGTCTACAGGTCCTAAGTCCAGCTAACGGTCCCCCAGTCTGAGACTCGTGCTGGAGCGAAGGACAGTGAAGGGCACAGTCAGTGTTTTAGCTAGGACAGAGGGCTTCCAGGAGGCGGTGTCTGTAACCTAGCTCTTGAGGACGCTGAATTGACTAGGAGGCGAGGTGGGGAAGGGTATCCAGGAAGCGGGAACAGCATGTGCTAAGACAAGCAGGGAGGACAGTGTGAGGTCCTGTCCTCTGGAGTGTGACCAGGACACATGTTAGGACATTATGTAGTGTTCAAGATAAGATATGTGCCTTGCTTTTCTCATCTGAGAAACTCCAGTCAGCTCTGAGGATACAGAAGGAATAGGAGAAAAAGCAGGCCCAGAGAGGGAAACTGACTTGCCCAAAATCACACAGCAAGTTGTGCCACAGCACACAGACCTCTGCCACAGGCCCGGTCATTTCCAAGTCATGACATCAGCCACACTGAAGCTTCCGGATGTCTCAGGAGTCCCTGGTCCAGGCAGCAGGTATACATGAGTGTTGGGGTCAGGGGGTGGTTATGGGGAGCAGGGAGGACTATGGCAAATCAGGAACACGTGCCCCTCTGAATTGGCAACCTCATTTGGCTAGAAACAAGGACCCAGTGACCATATCTCCCAATTTTACTTCCCATTTTTTCCTAAGTTTAAAGATTTATTTATTTATGCATACAAGAGTTGGGGTGTAGGCCAGAGGTACTGGGGGTAAGAGGGTTACCAGAGACAGAGCGGGGAGCAGAACAGATGGGCTAACTGAAGCACACTGCTGAGGGGAGCAATGGGGAGACAGGAGAGGTCTGCTGTGCCATGTAAGTCATTTCCCTGGCCGGGGATCGAACTCGTACTGCAGTGGCTGCAGAGAGCTTCATAGTGCTGAGCTTTAACCTACTGCACCGTGAGGGAGAGCCCACTTCCCTTTTTTCTTTTTAATTTTATATATATTACATCATTCTTGCTTTTTGTACAATAAAAGCTTTTCCCTCTCAGGTCCCAATTTTTTTTTCCATTTTTTTTTCATTATTAGTATTTTTTTTTACACAGTTTATTTTTACATCATTTTGCACATTTTTTTTTCCATCTCGATTGTAATCCCCGCGGGTTTCCCATCACCAAATCACCCCTGTGCCACCACCATAGTCCCGTGCATTTCCCTCCCTTCCCCCGTTTTTGATCCCATTCCCCACTCCACCCCCACAGAATGTCTCTGGTATATGGTTGTTCATTATTTTTGTTATTTTCTCGCCTGTCCATTATACTCCTGCTATGAGTGAAACCATCCGGTATTTTTCTTTCTCTTTCTGGCTTATCTCACTAAGCATGATCTTTTCCAGCTCCATCCAAGTTGCTGCAAAAGACATGTGTTTCTCTTTTTTGGTTGCTGAGTAATATTCCATTGTGTATATGTACCACATCTTTCTAATCCAGTCATCTACTTTTCAGGTCCCAATTTTTTAAAGGAGTCCGAACTTGCAATTTTAAAAGAAGAATCCCCTAATTTAAAAGAATAACAATAATTACTTAATTAAAAATAAAGGTGAAGGACCCTCCCTGGTGGTGCAGCATGTTAAAGCACAGCAGTAAGAAGCCTAAGCCACTTTCACATGAGTTCAGTATCCACCTACCCGGAGCTACCCACATGGCGCAGCAGACCTCTCCTGACCGCTGCTCCCCTCAGCAGTGTACTTCGTCGGTCTGCCTGTTCTGCTCCCCACTCTGTCTCTGGTGAAGCCTCTCACCGCCCCTGTGCCTCTGGCCTGTACCCCAGTTCTGTATGCACAAATAAATAAAAATCTTTAAAAAAATAAAAAGTCAAAAAGCCCCCCCATATTCATGGTCCTTGAGTCCCCAGCTCTGAACACACTGGGCAACAGCTCTCCTGGACTGTGGTGCCAAGGGAACCCCAGTTCTGCACTGGCTGGCAGTACCTCCCAGCCCCACTGCCCCAGGCAGGGTGCTGCCCCTGAGCCTCAGTCCCTCATCTGTGAAAGGGGACAGAGATGGGTGTTTCCCTTCACCCAGCGGGAAGCAAGTGCTAGTCAAATGGAAGCATTATTTTGATGTTATTTTGTGGCTCTTATCATGACTGTTATTAATCTCCGGGGAGGCAGCGGTCTGCAGGACTGTGAGGCACCCACGTGGTTTGGGAAACATTTTGCACAAACATTTTGCCATGCAGGGCCTGAGCGGATTCATTTTCCCTGAAAGACACAGGGGCCTCCCCAGTTCCGGCCACGGAGACACCTAGCAAGTTCTGTGGGGGCCCCCATCGGCACCCCGGGGGTGCTTCGGGACCTACGTATGCTGCAAGTTGCATGGCACTGCTATGCCAAGGTCCTCTCTTGCCTGGCCCCGAGCAGCCGCCATCAACTCCTAGAAAGTTTCCGTCTCCCAGGATTTCCAGGCAGAGGAACAGACTGAGGTGGGGCACCCCAGAGAGTCCCAGCTCTGCAAGGGAAAGCGGCGGGTGCAGCAGCCCACATCCCTCCCCTCCCCCATAGGCGGTACCCCAGGTGAGGATCCTTACTGGTAACTTCAGTAGACACTACCAGCACAATAACCCCAAAAGAAGGAAGGAGGGGAGCCCTCGGGGAGAAGCAGCCACCTACTTGGGTCTCGCTGTCTTGGCCAACAAAGACGCCCATGGTGCAGGGGTTCAGCTGGGGGCAGGGACGAGCATGGCAAGCCAGGGTCTGCGCGCAGAGCGGAGAACTAGAGCGTGCTCTAGTCTGAGTCTGCGAGGCGGCTCCAGAGCCTTCCTGCTTCTAATCAGATTGAGGGGACAGGCAGGGAACTCTGCAGAGATGCCCCCAGGGAGGCCAGGTGGGGACCGAAAGGCTGCGGTTGCTAGGAAGAGAGGAGCTGCTGCCTGCAGAGACCAGGTCGCTAGGCGACAACCGCCGTTTCCAGGGCGCGCACGTCATCAGTGACCCTGCGCCTTCTCCACCGGGCTGGCCCAAAGCCTCACCCCGCGCCAGCCCGCGGAGAGCCCAGACTGCCTGGCCCGAGCCAGACGCCCTCTGCATGTCTCAGGCACCACTGTGCGCTCACCCACTGGCTCGCCGCAAGCCCCAGTCCTCCCCAGACACCCCCCACCCCGCCCCAAAAGTTCTCTGAGTTTGAAACTCTGGGTAAATGTGTGTGTGCGCGCACGCGCGCGCATTAGCGGCGCGGGGGTGGGGGGGAAGTGGGGGGACGGCTGCAGCATTGGCAGCCACCAAATGCGCACACTGTGTGCGTGAGCATGTGTGCAGGGTATAAAATCAGTGTGTGCAAGTGTGTATGTCCGTGTGTGTGTGTGTTGCACGGGCGTGCACATGCTTGCTAGCCGTGGGGGGGCGAAGCATGGGTGTCCGTGTGCATGTCAGTGTGTGCACAGCCATGGGTCCATGTCTCCGGGCTGGTGTGTGTGTCCCGAGTCCTGTGCACAGGGAACATGCATGTAGCGAGAGCATGTGTGTGAGCACTGGGTCACCAGCCTTCCCGGGTGTTCAGCTCAAGAGCAGAGGCCTACAGGGGGTTCCCGGCCTAAACCCTGGGCACACAGGCTTGGTGGGGGAACGACCCCCAGACTATGTAGTCTACAAAGCAGGGTGGTTAGCACAGCGTGTACTAACCACGCCAGAGCAGCCTGGGGGACCCAGAGGGCAGAGTTCGGGCTGATGGAAGCCCCAGGGAAGGCAGCACATGTAGTTTTGGTACAAGAACTGCCATCAGAGGAGCCTATGGACAGGACGGCCACTGTGTGGTTGTGAGCTCCCCGTCCCTGGGAGCAACCAAGCTGCCAACGATGGAATTTCGATAGGTAAACTGGCAAGAGTGGCTAAAAGCGATGACACTGGGCAGAGCTTGAGATTGAACTCTTTCCCAACTGGAGCTGAAAATGACCCTCCAGGGGAGAGAGGATCAGTGCCCCTCGGTGGACACTCACTCCGGGGCACATCCTGCCACACTGGTTAGTTACCAGGCTAGTGCTTTTCACCCTGTGCGGGGCGATGGTCAGCCCCCACTTCCAGTGTGGAGGCCGGAATCCTGGGGCGTATGCCAGGTGCCCGGGTCACTACCAGAGCACAGCGCCAGATTGCTGACCCTCCCCTTGCCGTCCTGCTTCCAAGGAACAGGTCGGGGGACAGGTGGGGGGCGGGCATGGGCTGGGGTACCACAGACAGTGGAATGGAGGGACGGGGGAGCCCGCTGAGGGGAGAGCAGTGTGACCTGGCATGATACGGTGGTGGCGTGATCTCTGCCGCAGTCACCCTAGGTGGGGACACTCCCCCGCTCCAACCTTCCGTAGCTCCCGCTGCTCCCTTCCAGGTGATCAAGTCCGAGGCCTTCACAGCCTGCGCCCCCATCTCTGAGGCATCCCCTGCCACCAGCCACAGTCACATCCCAGACACGCAGCTCACACCTTCCTTCTCGAAACACTTTCGGAGCCTGGCCTCCAGCTCCGCACTCTCGCCAGCTACTTCTCCCTGCCTCTGGGGCCACTTCCTCCATCTTTTCTGCTTCCTCGCCATCCCTTCGGCTTCCCCTCCACCCACACTCCTGCCCTGGCAGCCCTTCCCAGCCCACGTTTTCCAGCGCCACCTAAGCGCCCAGACCCCAGACTTCACACCCCGTCACCCCCAGTCTCCCAACTCCAGACTCCTGTCCCCCTGTTTGTCTTCATCTGCACGCGGCCAGCCAGCCGTCAGCCCCGCTGTCGGTCCCACATGGCTGGACCCCCTCTCCCGATGGGGGGCCCTGATCTCCATTTTTCACCTTTATTTTAACTGTGCTCTTCTGGGTGTTCATGTTGACATCTTTCTGAGGTGGGTGGAGAAATGGGCAGGAGAGCAGAATCCAGGGCAGCTTAGAAGGCATCCACAGCTAGCAGGGGTGAAGAGTGCGAGGAGGGGACAGCCCTGCACCCCGGCTCGTTGATGACAGGGAGGACTGGCCGCTGCGGGCGCCCACTCACTCATCCCTCGCCTCTGTCTTAGTGCTGGCACGAGGCCGGGGATGTCACCTGTGTGAGGTGGTGTTCTAGAGTTTGTGTGTGAGTAGGGGCAGGGGTGTCGAGTGGCGTGGCCTGAGTCTGGGGTCACAGTGAGCGCAGTGGGAGGGGGGTCCAGCGTCCCTGAGCCTCCCTGGCCAGCACCCAACAGCACACAGAACAACGGAAGGCACCCAGCATTGTCTCCACCCACCCCAGAAGTCCAGCCGCCTCCCTGTCACCCCTTTCCCGGACCATCCCTTGGGGTGGGTGGGACAAGCGACTTACTCATCCTCCTCTTCCTCCTCCTCTTCTTTCTCCTCTTGAATCGCAGGCAGGTCCCTGAGTTGGGGTCAAAGGCAGATGAGTCTACCTGCAGCCTCGCCCAAGCCCACTCCTAACCCCTTTCAGCAGGATGTGGTAACCCCTGAGCTCCCCAACCAAGACTCCAGCGGGGAGCCCCACCTGAGCCCTGGGCTCCCCCAGCAACAGGGCTGTGTCACCAACCTGGGGGGGATCCCCGGTCCCCACTTCCCCATCTCTGCAATGCAGATCATGGACCTGAGGTCCCACGAACCACCCCCACCCCCCGCCAGTGGGAGCTGGGGTCACTACCTCCCGGGTGGCAGCTGAAGCCGCTTCAGCATGAGAATGATCCGACCCCCGGCCAGGGCGCTGACCCACATGGCAGCAGACCTCTCCTGACCTGCCCGCTGCTCCCCTCAGCAGAGGACTTCATCAGTCTGCCTGCTCTGCTCCCCACTCTGTCTCTGGTGGATCCTTTCACCACCCCTGCACCTCTGGCCTGTACCCCAGTTCTGTATGCCTAAATAAATAAATCTTTAAAAAAAATAAATAAGTGCTGTCACAGTCCTATACGTTGGCAAAAGAAAAAAAAAAGGCGAAAGACCTCAGGGTATATTGTAGACTCAATACAGAAATGAGCAAGGCCCGGGGAAGGGGGTTCTCTCCCAGCCCCAAACTCGGGGGTCTCCAAGCCCCTCTCTGAAGCACCTGAGTTGTGGGTACGATCTGCTATCTTTTGTGGGAGGAAATAGAGAACGCAAACATGGCCTGGAGTGGCCGCCACTGGCCACGGGGAGAGCACGGGGGACCTGAGGGTGCTGGGGAGCAGCCTCAGCCCCCACACTTCATCCTCTTACACGTTCAGGGTTCTGTGCGCTGTGCCCACCCATCACGGTTGTCAGACCCTCCCTGGCTCCCACCTGGGGGTCTCTGCTGCAGCCTCGTCCTCCTCTTCGTAAGCCGGAGCCTCCTCTGGGCCGTGCGGGCTGGCGGCACCATGGGGACACTGGTCCCCTTCCCAGCAAGGGTCAAAGTCTTCTAGGACAAGCTCAGGCCCCTCTTGGCCTCCTGGGAGGATGCTGACTGCAGGAGACACAGAGTTGGGGGTGGAGGAGAGCGGCCTGGGGCTTCTGGGGCCACGGGGGTCCCGGGCCATCACCAGCCCTGGCCAGCGTCCAGGCCAGCAGTGGAAAGCCTGTTTCCAGGGGCCAGTGCGCAAGTGTTGACCGAAGCTCGCCATCGGTCACCCTGTCTCCTTCCATTAGCACCCCTCTTCCTAAAGTCCCCGAGACAGAGCTTCAGCGGCAGCTGGTTTTATTTCAGTGGGGAGAGACCTTCTTGCTGGGCAGAAGCAGAAACAACATCTGTAATCACAGCATCGCTGGTAACGTCAGAGGCCGGTCTTGGGGTTCACCGGGCCGAATAGCTGTGCTGGCCTGAATGTGCCAAGGGGCTAGGATGTGGCACACCACATCCGCTTCTGGGAGTCTTTTTCACAGGGCCTAGCACCTTCTCAGGGGGCCCCATGGCAGAAAGGGGTTCCACCCTCAGAGAGGAAACTAGAATCTTCAACGTGTCTCCATGTCCTCCATCCCTGACAATCTAAACACTGTGGGCTGTGACCTTGGCGGAAGTGGGTAAGGAGCATCTCATCAAGTATCTAAGGTGGGGACCCTCCCTGGTGGTGCAAAGGGTTAGAGCGCAGCACTATGAAACCATCCGCAGCCACTGCAGCATGAGGTCGATCCCGCCCCGGAGGTGACCCACAGGGCACAGCAGACCTCTCCTGCCCCGCCCGCTGCTCCCCTCAGCAGTATGCTTCATCAGTCGGCTTGTTCTGCTCCCCGCTCTGTCTCTGGTGAAGTCTCTCACCCTCCGCACCTCTGGCCTGTGCCCCAGTTGTTATATGCATAAATAATTTAAAATCTTTACCAATATCTAAGGTGACCCCCGAGCAGAAGAAGGGGTGAGACTGCCTGGCTACCAGGTGTCCCCCCAAAGCATCAAGGGTCCTAGTGGCCCCCAAGCCCAGCATCAATTACTAACGGTGACGCGAAGTGGGAGCTGGCCTCAACCCTTATCCTGGACTTTGGGAGTTACTGTTCACGGTGTAAAACAGTCATAGCCGTAGGAGCAGTAATCATACTAGTAAGAGAAGCGACATTCTGGAGTCCTGGCCACGGCCAGAGCCACACTGATTCCCCTGTGGTAACTCAATCCGTCCTCACGCCGACCAGCTAAGGTGGGAATATTTTATCCCCCCTCTTATGTATTTTATTCCCCCTTTTACAGAGAAGCAAACCGAGACCCAGGTTAACACTCCTTTTGGGGGGGGCTTCCCCTGTGCCCGCTTTCCAAGCACTGTCTCCCTCTCGGCTCCCACTCGCTGGCCTCTAGATGGAGATGTCCCTGTGTCCCCCACCTGCCTGCCAGGGAAGCCTCCTGTGACCTTGCACTAAGGTCCTGGTTCCTCCGGCTCTATAAGCACCTCTGGATCTTGACCCCCAGGAGGCATTTCCAAGTATGGCCCCGAGGTCAGCGGTCAGTGGTGGGCACGGCATTGACTGCTTCCATCGGCATGGGTGTGGCATCTCCACCCCGAGCAGCCACTGGTCAGTCAAATCCCAGCCTGACAGGGCAGAAGACATCCAGGCCCCAGGACACGCACTGGCCTGTGGGCTCACATGCCTCTGTGGCAGCCCTGTAGGGTAAACATTGGACTCTCCCATGTCACAGACCAGAGAGCTGGCTCAGAGAGGCTGAGGAACTTGCCCAAGGTCACACAGCACATGGGAGGCAGTGCCAGGCCTCCTGAATCCTGCTCCCTGGTGTGCTGGTCCGTGAGTGCCTCTCGGTTGCTCAGAAATGGGCCTGGTGTCGCAACGGGTTAGGACGCAGCACTGCAAGCTAGCCGCAGCCACTTCAGTGTAAGTTCAATCCCTGGACACGGAGGTGACCCACGTGGCGCTGCAGACCTCTCCTGACTCCCTGCTGCTCCCCTCAGCAGTGTACTTCGTCCATCTGCCTGTTCTGCTCCCCACTGTCTCTGGTGGATCCTCTCACCGCCTGCACCTCTGGCCTGTAGCCCAGTTCTGTATGCATAAATAAGTAAATCTTTAAAAAAAAATCACTCCTTGCCCCAGACAAAGACATCTGCAGCCCAGCCAGACCAGGCTGGGGTCCTGGCTAAGCCTTCCCTCCCGGCAAGCCCGCTGCTGCAGCCATGTGCACTCCCGTCCTTAGATCTAAATGCTTTTCTATTTTTTAAAAGATTTACTGACTTATTTACACACAGAAGGACTGGGGTGGAGGCCAGCGGCACGGTGAGGGGACCCACCAGACACACAGTGGGGAGCAGGGACCTACTAAATGCTCCTTGAGCCTTGTCTGAAGCAATACTAGCAGGCAATCGCAGGCTTGATCCTTTTTTTTTATATTTTATTTTTATAGATTTATTTATGCATACAGAATTGGGGTACAGGCCAGAGGTGCAGGGGCGGTGAGGGGATTCACCAGAGACAGAGTGGGGAGCAGAACAGGCAGATGAATGAAGTCCACTGCTGAGGGGAGCAGCGGGCGGGTTAGGAGAGGTCTGCCGGGCCATGTGGTCACCTCCGGAGGAGGCGGGGATCAAACTGAAGCGGCTGTGCTCGCTTGCAATGCTGCGTCCTAACCTGTTGCGCCACCAGGGAGGGCCGGCTTAACGCTTTTTAATGTCAACCAAAGCGTTGGTTGCTGTCCACTAGGGGCCCTGAGCATGGGGGAGACAGGGCGTCAGCCTGATTCTTCAGGGGAATATCACGTCCTGCACTCTCTGCGGGCTGTGCAGGCGTCTTCTCAAAGACAGTCAGCAGCTCTCCGCAGCCCTGGGAGGGAGGCCTCCTGCTGCCCTGGGGCGACTTCCACAAGGGGTTGGCCTTGGCCTCTGAGGGGTGACTCTGGCTCCCCTTGCTCTCTTGGGAGCAAAGGGAGGAGCAGGGGCCACTGTTCAAGGTGGGTGGGGGTCCATGGGCCCCTCGGTCGCCCTCCCCTTCCTTCCTTCTATCCATGTGTCTGTCTGCACTCCCCCGGCTCCCTTCTTTGTTTCAGGGGCTTCCAGCTGCTGACACCCCTGAAACAAAGGGAAAGACAGAAGGGTGGGTGGCTGGGAAGACAGAAGGATGAATGAATGAATGAGTGAGTGGGTAGCGGGAGCTGGGGATGAAGCAAGGAGAAGGGGAGACACTCATCTCAGCCCCTTAGAGCCCCCTCATTAACAGACTACACAGAGTCCCCCAAGTTCTGATCCCCACTAATCATGGCCAATCTTTTTTGGAAACAGGGTCTGTGCCGAGAGCCAGAAGAGAAGGCTGTCAAGAGATCATGTGGATGGGGGGGGGGGGGGGGCCGAAACCCAATGGTAGGTTCTGAGGAGAAGGTGATGTGACGGACAGGCTGGAGGGCCGCTGGGCTGGGGTGCCAGGCGTCACCAGCAGCCAGCAGGAACCCAGAGAAAAGTGGAGCAGGGGTTCTTCTCAGAGACTCCAGAAAAACCAAACAACCGGACGCTTTGACTTGGAACTTGGGACTTCTCGCCTCCTGAGTGTGAGAATACACCCCTGCTGTCTGAAGGCGCCATCTGGGCTCTGCCACAGTAGCTCCAGAAGAGAAATCCCCGGGTCCTGGGCTGAGTCTGCCACGGACAGCCGGTGCCCACCCCCCAGCCATGCGGGGTCCTGTCTCTGGGCGCTGGGAGCACGGCTTCCTTCCAGAGAGCTGGGGAAGAGGGCTGGGGCCTGTCCCCGTGGTCAGCAGCCCGGGTGGGCGTGGGGCCTCGCCCCAGGGAACCCCTCCTGTACTGAGCCCCAGCGAATGGACAGCTCGTCACTCCAGCACAACTAGCTCTGGCCCGCTACTCGCCCACTCTGGGGTGCCCATGCCCTCTGCAGCATGGAGCAAGCCCTGCTCAGTGTCCTCCCATAGCCGCCGTCAGGAGCAGCCCCACAGTCAACGGCTGTCTGTGCTCCAGGCTGCCGTGGCCGCCGGCTCAGAGTGCCCAGAAAGACCACCACGGGTGGACGCAGCTTGGGGAAGCCCCGAGGTCCACGGCCAAGGACCTGTGTCCAGGGTGGAATAGGGTCACGACTGGGAGCCTGAACTTTGCTTTGTTCACCCCTGGAACTCATCACAGGCCTGGTCCCTAGCAGGTCCCCTCAGGATCCTTGGCTACGAAGGAATGAAGGAGTGAATGAACGGAGGTGTGCCCTGTCCACCTCAGCCTCCCAGAGGCCGTGACATGAAGGCAAGCAGATACTGGAGCCTGGCCCTCCCCTCCTGGCCTCAGGCTGCTCCTAGACCTGGAGCTGGGCAGGGACAAAAGGTGTGTGTGTCTCTCTCTCCCTCAGCCCAGCCACCGACCAGAGGACACCGTTCCCAGCTGGCGTCTAAGGGCCTAGCCCCTCTTCCCTCTCACCCCAAGTCTGAGACTCTTCAGCCAACCTCCAGGCCTAGCTGCTGAAGGGCAACGGGGCTCTCCCTCTCCCCATGTTCCCACAGGAAAGGGGGACCACAGACTTAGCCTCAGGACAGTTTTCTCTGGGGAGAAGCTGGGGAGGGGTTGTCCCCTCCCACACCTGTCCCGCCTGCCCCCACCCTGGCCCCTAGGAGGGGCCTTCAGACACCACCTAGGCTCTGGGCTCCGGTGGCCCGGCCAGGCTGACCAGAGGCGGGACCTGCAGAGCCAGGTCAGACCCCGACTGTGCCCCCCAGCGAGTCCAGGGCAGACCCACTGCCCTGCACCCTCATGCCACTTACTGGTCTGCACGTCACAGCTCACGGGGGCATCGGGCTCCTGTGTGGGGTGAAAGGGAAGGAAACCACCGGGGCGCCTGACTGAGGGGTTGTGTGCCAGCCCCCTCCGCTTATCCCCAGGGTACCCCCTTCAGGTCTCAACTTGGCAGGCCACCTCCACTGGGAAGCCTTCCCTGATGCTCCTAGGAGGCTCCTTCTCTGCACCCCACTTCCCTCTGCCCCCCCATGGAGGCTCCTCCCTCCACAACTTGAGCTCCTGGTGGTTGGAGCTGGGCCAGCAGTTCTTCACCTGAGACCACAGCACTGGGCAGGCTGGCTCGGCTGTACCCCACCCAGGGACCACCCCACCTTGCCCAAGCTCCTGTGACCCTCCCACCAGCACGCAGGCCCCGCGCCCTGAGCTCAGCACCCACCTGCCCCCCCGCCTTCTCCCGGAGCACCGGCTGCGGCAGGACGTCCTCCAGCCTGTGCAAGAGCCACGCCACCAGCCTGCGGGCAGACAGCAGGCAGCGCCTGGCTGAGAGCGCTTCTGGGGAAACTGAGGCCAGAGCTGACCTGTGCCAGGGCCCGCGGCAAGGCAGACCGGTGCCCAGGTCTCAACCCTAAGCCCACCGCCCCTCCCTGTTCTCCCAGGCAAGCCTCCAGCTACTCCACAGACCCCAGTGGGGTCCCCACACCCCACCTTCACCCCCACCCTCACCCCCTGCTCTCACCACCCCCACAGGAACTCCCTACAGGCCTGACTATGGGTTCTAGCAGGGGTGGGGGAGGTTTGTGGGGGAACTGACACTGATTTTATTTCTTTAGCACTATCCACCTGCATGCTTTTGTTATGCAAATCCCCCCATTTTTGTACAATGTCTGGCTTCCCCGTGAAGCTCCCATCACCACCACCCGTGCGCTGTCACCGTCGTCCCTTGTTTTAAATGCAGGTGTCTCCTGACCCCTCTGATTCCTCGGGCAGCTTTCCTTGCACCAAATGATGCCCGGGTAAGGCAGAGACACCGATGCCTGCGTGTTAGTAAAGCGTCCATGCAGTGGGCACCAAGCCGCCGTCCCAGGGATGAAGCGGACGGGCGGGTGTCAACCCCTCTAAGACACCCTGGTAGGTGAGAAAGCAAGACCACGACACGATGCCGGTTTGCTTTCGCCGGTGTGTGTTTAAAGGAGAAACATCCTCATCCTCTTGGCTTGTGCCGAGAAGGCGGGAACAAGTGGGGGACCCCTGGATGTTCTTCCAGGTGCAAGTGCTACCCCTCTATTAAAGCAGTTTGTGAAGGCTGGATATTGGGCGGGGACAAGGCCCTGCTGCTGCTGTGGGGGGGCTGCACTTGGGGCTCACCTGGCAGTGTCCCTGGGGGGCGGCAGGGAAGAGGCCTGGAGAGCGGGCTGGGGATCCGGTGTGGGCTCCTCTTCGGGCTCCAGGGGTGCTGGTGTGGGCAGGATGGGGCTTTCTGGCGCCTGCAGCATGGACTTGGTTTCCAAAGGGGGTTCAGGGGAGTCTAGGTGGCAAGAGGAGGCGAGATACAGATGGCATGACAGGACTTCATGTGACCCAGGGGCATGGGGACAGACCCCAGGTACCAGCATGACTAAGTGGGAGCCCCTGGGGATGCCCCAAGTAGCCCTATCATCAGACAGACATGGGACTGAGGCCCAGGAAGGGAAGGAGCTTGTCCAGACCTCAAGTGTCTGTTGTGGGCTCCAGTGCACCCCCACAGGCACTGAACGCCTCTCTAGGAAGGATGAGGGCTTAGATGCTGCGGGGGATGCCCAGTCCCCAGTGGTATCCCCAGCCCAGCCGCGACCAGCCCAGCCAGCCCCTCCGCAGAGACTCTCCCTGTACCTGGGCCCAAGGCAGCACCAGCAGTCTTGTCTCTGCAGCCCTGGAGCAAAAGCCAGGGTGAGGTCACAGGCTATGCCACCCCGTGCACCCCTGCCCTGGCCAGCTGGGCCCCCAGTGTCCACACCACCCCATCCAGGGCCCTCAGGGAGGCGAGCACCCTCGCCATGGGCTCTAGAGAACTGGGACCACCTGCTGAGTGGACTGGCCCTCTCCATAACCCCCAAAACCCTCTCAGATGAGCAGCTTCCCTTCCCCCTTTTCCCTGGACGTACCTCTGAAGTTTTAGGGGGCTGTGGCAGCACCTTCTCCAGACTCTGCTCTAACCATAGGAGCAGCCAGGGTCTGGGCCTATAGAGGGGCCAGTGGTCAACTGCTCAGCCTGACCACTGGCTGGGTCTCCGGGTCCAGCCCTTGCAGGCCTTCAGCTCCCCTCCCATGGGGGGCTCCTTCTATCAGACAGTCTCAAAGAGCCCAAGGTGGTGGCGGACGCTGCTGTCAACCTCAAAGTCTGCCCTAAACCTGGGCCAGGCCCTGGGAAAACATGGCTTCGGCGTAGCCTGGGGAGCTCCCAGTGACTGGGGCACCCCAGTCTGGTTTTAAGGTTTGTGGCCCATGCTGTGCCCCGAGGACCCACACTTACAAGGACCCATTTCTGGCTCTACACTCTGTGGCTGCCATCTTTGGTCTTAGTCATTGTGAAAGGGGTTCTGCTCCCGCAAGGCACCTTCTGGACAAACTTCGGGTCCCAGACCCATCTGGGCTCCAGGAGCCCTTCTTTCCTCTGGGAAACTTCATGTTCCCAGGGGAACCCGTGTCCCCACGTGGCCTGGTGCAAAAGCAGGCTGGCAGTCCTCTGGCGCCTTTATCAAGGCGCCTTGCTGGTTTCATGAGTCCCTGGGGAGGGCACAGCCGCCGGGGGCCGAAGGAACAAGTGGGAGCCACAAATGAGTGGCTGGAGTGTGTCAGGGTCCACTGCATTCGTTCGCCTCTTCACTGACCCCCACTGTGCTGAGAACCACCCCCCACTCTGTGCGTTCAGCAGTGACCAGGACAAAAGCCAATGCGACGAGTGGATGAGGGAAGGAAGGACGGAATAGGGGAATGGACTTCCAGCAGGGCTTGCAATCAGAGACTTCAGGCTTACGGGGCGGGGGGGGGGGGTGGACACTGTATTCTGAAAACTTTTAATTCCTAGACAACATCTACAAACAAAGGCATCGACATAAAAATCTAACGTTCCAGCTTCTCTTGAAAAACGAGAGGGCCTGGCCACCCTGGCGCTCCTGCAGGGCAGAGGCACCTCCTGATGACAGGTGCCCCTCCTCAGCGAGAGCCACAGCTCCCTGTCTGCCTCAGTCCTCGCCCTCCTGCCCCCCAGATGACCAGGCCACCCCTGGGCAGTTCCGAGGGTTGGAAAGCTGCGAGGCCAAGCTGACCGCCCAAGAGGCCCACAGAGGCAGGCCCCGCTTCTAGGCTCCACCTGGCACCCCCCCACCCCCACACTGAACCTCGTCTGGGAGGAGCTCACCCACACCTCCTCTCCCTCCTGAGAAGGGGCCCCCACTAGCGCATCACCCTATAATTAGCACAAACAACCAGAGCCAGCCCAACCCCACCGTTGCCATTTTGTACTGAGAACGTGACAACGGAAAGAGGTAAGAGGCGTGTCCAAGGCTGCCCCTGGGTGACAGTGGTCCCAGCCCGAGGCCCTGGACTCTGGGCGCGCTGCACCCCCCCCCCACACATACTCCAGATGAGGCTCAGGAGCTCCCAAACTGATGCTCAGGAATGGGGACTCACCCAGTGTCATGGCCCCGCCCTGCAGGGTCAGAGAATAAAGAAATGTGGTCAGCACTGCCAGTGGCCTCCCGTCAGCCCAACTCAAGCCCAGGGTTGAGCCTCGGGTCAGTGAGATGGGGAGACCCACCCCCAGGGCCCTTCCCGGGGGCAGGCCTGTCCCAACACTCCCTTGGTCCAGGGCCCCGGCCTCTGGGCCTTACCTGGGCGCCCCCTGCTGCAGTGCCTGAGGCCCTGAGCTCCCGCCTGGGGGGGCAGACAGATGATATGGGGAGCAAGCCGAGGCGGGGCCTTCCCTCCAGCCTCCCCCGCTCGGCCCCTTGACCCCAGCAGTACCTGAGCCGGGGTCCCCAGCCCCACAGCGCTCCGGGCCGGCCTGCTGCTGTCTCCGGGCTGTGGGACGACCTTCTCCATGCCTTTCCTGAGCCAGGTCAGCACCCAGCTGCCGGGACTGTCCAGAGACAAAGGCACCAGCCAGCCCTCAATGTCCTCCACCCCATCCTGGCTGAAGAGGCGGTCCCCACTGTCCCCCCAAAGCTCCATCTCACCACTGTGAGCCTTCAGACATATCTCCACCTGAGCCTTACGTCCCTGTCTGGAATACAGGGGACGCGCCCCCTGGTGAGGCCAGCGTGCCTGGCCAAGCTGGGTGCACCCCCACTGGATATGTGGGTGGAGAGCAGCCAAATCCATGCTCTCTCATCCCGCCTCCCCTTCAAAGGCGCCCAGGGCTCCCCTGGCCGACATCTGCGCTCCAGAAGGGTGCGGGCTTCCTGCAGCTGAGGCTGATTTTCTAAATAAGGGCGGCACAGGCTGGCTGCCGGGTGAGGGCCCCAGCACAGGTGCGCTCTCTTGGACAAGCACCAGAGTTCTGGAACGTCTGAGCCAACTGGGAGATGGCGTGTAGCTTCCCGATCTCTGGCGTCCTTGGGGAAAGCAGCCACTCTGGCCACGCCAGGCCTGCGTTTCATCCTCACACACCAGCAGCCGGCGGCTCCAGCCTGGGTTTCTCGCTGTTGTCTTGTCATTTGAGCCTGAGAGGCCCCTACCCCCTCCTGAAGGTCCCTCTGCAGCCAGCTCCAGAGATGTTGCAGGTCCTCACCGGGGTCCACCGAAGCCTGAGAGTTGCGTGGCCTTTCCCTCCACCCTGTGGCTCCCTGGCTGGGGGGAGCGTGCTGTCTGAGGTGTCGGGGGTGGCCCTGAGGAGAGGGGACGGGGTGCGGTACCTGTTTGCTTCTGGACCCACAGCAACCTGGGCTTGGAGGGATGTGGTCAGGGTGTGGGCAGCCTCCTGCATTTCTGGAAAAGAGCCCTCACACTTTAGATCAGCAGCCACAGCCAAGCCTGTTTCTACCCTTCTGGGGAGGTTAAATCAGAGGCAGAGGGAGGGGAGAAGCCCAAGGGAGCTAGAAGCAGGGTCTCGGCTTGGCTCAGCTAAGCGTCCCGGCGCCCACCCTTCCATGCTCTTGGCCTCAGTTTCCTCCTTTGTGGAGTGGCCTGCCAGGCCACCCCAAGGCTCTCCGGAGGCCTGGGGCTTCCACACTCACCCTGAGGGCTTGCATAGGCCGTGGCTGCCTCTTCCCCCTTGAATAGCTCCTGGGGTGGCTGGGGGGTTCAAACAGACCGAGTCAGCCCTCAGCAAGACCAGCCTGGCTCACGAGAGGGCAGTCCGTGTCCCACCCACCGGGATCCTCACACACCCCACCCCAAACAGGAGCAGACAACTCTGTGTGCACAACTGTCTGGGCAAATCCTAGTACCTCACCTTCTGCCTGGAACACACGGGTCTCCCAGCCCCGAGCCTTTTATCCACCCAGAAACCTCTGTGCAAGCAGAGGGGAGGCGAGGGGGGCGGGCTCCACCCTGCCAGCCCCCAGCCCTCTCTGTGCTGCTCAAGGCCACGCCTTGCACTCCCCTCTAGCAGTCAGGTGACCTCAGTCACTGCCACCTGTCTCAGCTGCCTCCGCAGCCACACCCCCTACTGCCAAGTGCACACAGGCCGTGACATTACACAGGCAGACACGTGCAAGAGGTGCGCACACCTGCATGGATGGACACACACAGGCCTGCGAGTATGCAGACACAGACGCTCGGCGGGGTCTGCTACACGCACGCACATCCACGCACATCAGACCCACCCACACAAACATCGGCACATTCACAACTTGCACATGACACGCAAACATGCTTGCAAGCACACCTTATTCACATGTGCATCAAAGCACGGTAAAATACATGCACACAGATGAGCATGCTTCCCAGGCTCGCGTGTGGCCACACGTGTGTGCTCACGTGCACCCATACACACGTGAACACGTGTGCATCCACCGGCACACAAACCGTTGCGTGCACCCGTGCACACGGCGTGAAGCTGTGTGCACACATACAGGCATTTAGACGTGTGCATGCTACACAGACACGTGAATGCAGTCGTCGACTCCGAAACAGGCACCCACATCCACTGTGACACACTAGCATGCACACAAGCGCATGGGGCCACAGACTCACTGACGCATGAGCATCACAAGGCTGTGTGTGTGTTAGCGCGCAGGCAGACGCAGGAACATGCGTGCATGTCGTTGCATGCACCCCGCTTACAAGCACGCCTGCATGCAGGCTTTCCACTAAGGGTACGGGCACACGTGTGTGTGGAGCCTCACGCATGCACACGCAAACACACGAGGTAAACCCTACACCTGGTAGCTTGGTGTCTACTAAGCGCACCCTGCACGAGCCAGCGACAGGCTTTCCTCTTCCAGGAGTGACGGTCTCTTGACCCCTTCCCACCGGCCGCCTTCCGGCCCGCCCAGCCCTCTGTGTCTGCGACACACTCGTCTGCCAGCTCCACTCTGCAAAGTTCACACGACTGTTTCCCTCCTCTGGCTGTAGTCCTCAGGGTGATACTTGTATTTGGCCTCTCCAAGGCCGGAGCCACTAAATGCTCCTTGTATCCTCGGTGAGTGACCTGGCCACGGCCAGGGCCGCTTGCTCATCGTCATGCTCCCAGCACTGCACATGGGGGCTAGCAGCAATTCTGATCGATGGTCACCAGGCTCCCGAGCAGATGGGATGTAGAATTGGTAAGCTTTGAGGCACTCGCAGGATGGGTCTGGAAAAATGTTGCTCTAACTGTAACCCGTGAAGCCGTGTCAGTCCGCAAACTGTGACTGGGCCCATGAGTAAGCAGCTTGCTCCAGAAAGGAGATCAGTGACCTAAATCCTTCATGGAGAACGTCTTACTACAAAACAAATACTAACTACTGCACTGAGGTACACTGTAGATTTGCATTCTGGCAAGCTCCTAATCTCACCATGGGAGTAACAGCTCACGGACTGGCTTCTTTGAGTAGCTCTCGTTCTAGATTCTAGAGCTCCTCAAGCAATGGCCAGCGAGCCAAAGAGCCGCCTGTCTTTCTAAATAAAGTTTTATTGGGACACACCGTGCTCACATACTGCCTGTGACTGTTTCCACTTTACTATGGCAGCGTTGACTATAACAGAAATGGAAAGAGACACAAAGTCCAAAATATTTACTCTCCGCCCTATCCATAGAAAAAGTCAGCCTTGGGCAAGCCTCATCCATTCTGTCCTCCTTGGTATAACAACAGTGCTAAGCCAGGGGGCCTGGAGTTTTCCTTCTGACTCAAATTTTGTAGTGGAAGGGCCATGGCGAGAAGTTGACCCCAGGGGCAAGCCCCAGCAGCGAGATCAGCACACGCTCTTCGCCCTCTTCCTCTCACCAGGCTCGCAGCCTCCGCTGTCTCAGGCTCTGGCTCTGGCTCTGGCCTGCCCTCCTCCTCCTCCATCTGGGTCTTCTGAGGGGTCCCTGGGGGCTGAGGCAGCACCCTCTGGACCCAGCCCAACATCCTGACACCTGTAAGAGATGGTGCCCTTAGATCCCCCCAGAGTGCTCACAGTTACACCCATTTGGGGGCTGCTTTTGTGGGTTACACTTCTCCTTTTTTCCCTCATAATATTTTAAAATGTCTTTGCAAGTCAACCTCCAAGTATTTAAATTTTAGAAATACTCAAATTCCCAAACATATGTATAAAGAAGTTGGTCACAACAGTGTTTCAGCAAAAGATGATAAACACCCAAATACACATCCGTAGGAGGAGGGTTATTAGAAAACCCCTAAATGTTTATCTGTGAGAGGGGTTCACATTTAATAGATTACAATGTGCTCAGAAATGGGATAGTCAAAAAAAAAAATGGAAAAGTCTAGAACCACTGGGAGCCACAGTGAGGGGTAGAGCTCTGGGTGGGGAGTCGGATCGCTGACTCAGCCGCCAAAGAAATGAATGTGGGTCTTCCATTTCCCTGTTGGCTTGGGGGTACAGATGCAGCAATTCCCCAGGTTGGTAGGGCCCCAGGTCACATGCTGAGAGAGGCAGAGACTGGCCCAGGCAGCCCCGGGCAGGCCTGTGAACTGAACGGTGCCCCGTGTTCTGCCTGTGCTCACACTCAGGCCTGAGTAAGTCCATCACGTTTCTACAGGTAAGGAAACGGGCACCCGGAGAGGTCAGTAGACTTGCCCGAAGTCACACACCGGCAAGTGGCCACATTGAGTGTAAACTCATCTCTACCTGACCCCAGGAGTCCCACACCTACCCCAGGAACCGGTATTTGCCCGTGACTGACTCCTGCAGGCCAGTCCTGCAAATCTTTCCTGGTTTGCCCTTCTAAACCTTCTGGAAACGGGCCCTCCCTGGTGGCACAGCAGGTTAAAGCACAGCATTGAGAATCTAAAGCTGCTTCCACATGAGTTCGATTCCCGCCTGCCCCGGAGGTGACCACATGGCATGGCAGACCTCTCCTGACCCGCACGCTGCTCCCCTCAGCAGTGTACTTTGTCGATCTGCCTGTTCTGTTCCCCACTCTGTCTCTGGTGAAGCCTCTCACCGCCCCTGAGCCTCTGGCCTGTACCCCAGTTCTGTATGCAAAAATAAATAAATCTTAAAAAAAAAAAAAAAAAACCTTCTGGAAATGGCTAGGGGAAACCTTTCCCACTCCCAGTTGTCCCTCACCCAGACTTGGTCATTTGCCCCGAATGGAAACCTTTCCGCTCCTTCCCAACTTTTTGCCTGGTCCTTGCTGATACCACATTAAAGTTTCCAGTGGGAAGGGGAATCTGAGGGGGACATCCCAGGGCAATTATGGGGCTAGGCTGAGAAGCCTTTCAGAATGTGCTAGGGAGCTGGTGAATAAACAGGTTCTGGGGTGCAAGCCTCTGGTGGTCCTGGAACCTGCATTTCACAGTTGCCCTAAAGACTGAAGAGCACAAAGGTTTGAGGCTTCTAAAGGGAGGTTCCCCAGCCTTGCCCAGCTCTCCAGATCTACCTGCTAGAAGGAAAGTCTGAGGGTCACATTAGGGGTCCCCCGAGCCACCACGTCATCTTGAGTTACCTGTCCAGGCGCCGACCTCCAGCCAGGACCTGCCTTCTCCTTGCCCCTCAAAGCCGGCCTCTCAGACACAGGGGATTACTGGGCAGCAGCTGGGCTGTGTGCAAAAGATTAGCAGGTGCCCAACAGGGGTGGGGAGCTGGCGGTGGAAGAAAGGACGGGGTGCCCAGGGAGCCACCAGGGATGGGTCCCCAGGAGGAGTCCAGATGGCCAGGAGTTGCTGGGGGACCTGCTGGGGTGCCAGGGGCTTAGCGTCCCACACACCTTGGCCAAGACAGAGTGACTGGTGGGACAATAAAAGTTCGGAGGAGACCCTGTGCAAATCTGAGACTCCCCCAGGTGGTGGTGGGGGCTTGTGGGCCTCAGTCAGCAGTAGCAGGAGCCACACACCAGCCCCAGAGCCAGCCCAGACCCTAACAGACCCCTTGCCCCATGTCCTGGCTGTGGTCCAGGGCTGGGCCTTCAGGAAGAATCCAGGGACTGGGAGCTGACCAGTCTGGATGAATCTCATGGGCATCTGTATGGAGCAAAAGAAGCCAGAGTTCAAAGGCCACAACTGTGGTTGTACACAGAACTCAGAGGGGCAAAATTAGCTTGTCTTGTCCAAGGCTGCAAAATAGTAATGCTGTTCTCTTTAAAGCAGCCGTTATACTATCTGGTGAGAGAGCAGTTGCCTCAGACAGGGGTTGAAGTTGTCACTGGTAAGAGATGTCTGGAAGCTTCTAAGACTGGCAGGGCTCTATTTTTTGCTGTCTTTGATATGCGTCTATTTTTAAAACAATGTTACTGAGGGAGGATTTATATGGCATGAAATTCACCTGTTGCCTGTACAGTACAATGATCTTTAATCCGTTAACTGAGCTTTGCAAGGAGTTCTACCTAGTTTTGAAAAATTTTCACCCCAGTGACACCCCTTCTGCCGGAGCTCAATCACTGTCAAACCCCAAGCCACCCCTGACCTGCTTTCTGCCTCGAACGATTTCCCTTTTCTGGACATTTCATATCAAGAGATCATTCATGTGGGAAGTTTTGGCTTCTTCCCTTGAACAAAATGGACTTGAAGTTGCTCTGTACGGAAGCCCAGATGGGACATCATTTATTTTCGGTTCTCAGGAAGTTTCATGGTCCAGATACACCATGGTCTGTTGAATCCTCACTAATCAGGGGACACTTGGGTTGTTTCCACTGTGGGTTAGTAGTGATCCTGCTGTGAATACTCGTATGCAAGCCTTCCCCTATCTTTCAGTTCCTGGGGAAGGTACCTAGGAGTAGAATTGGAAGGTTAAATGGTAACTGTGTCTCTTCCTCCCCTTTCTCTGCTTTGGGTGATGAGTCTTTAAAGATGTTACTGAGCTCTATGGCTTGAAGTGTTTTACCTACATTTTCTTCTATATATTTTAAGGGTTCAGGTCTTATGTCCAGATCTTTTATCCATTTTGAGTTGATTTTTGTACATGGTGTGAGGTACTGGTCTCATGCATTCTTTTGCTTATGTTGGTCCAGTTTTCCCAGCACCATTGATCGAACAAACTGTCCTTGTTCCATTGCAAAGTCTTTGCTCCTTTGTCAAAGATGAGTTGTCCATGTATGCATGGCGTTAGTCTTCACTTTTTAAGAAGGTGCTGAAATGTTTCTCAAAGCAGTGACACAGGGTCCCACTTTATAAACTATCAGTTACACATTTGTATAAAATATCAGTTATATTTGTAGGCACTTTCTGTACTTTGTTATATATTATGATCTTAAAAGACTTGGAAAATAACTTGGGGCTGGGGGAGTGGAGTCAACTGTGGGGCCTCTTCCTGATGGCTGGGGCTGGGGGAAGCTGCTCTGGCTGTCTGGACCCAAATCTCCCAGTAGGGCTCCCAGACCCATCAGGTCAGCACCTGGGCAGGTGTGTGCACAGCGTGTGCCAATATATGCAGTTAATGTAGGGTTCTCTCACTGTGGGGAGGGGAGCCCACCTCCAAGAATCACGTCAGGGTGGTGGGTAGGCTTAGGGCCCAGGGGGGCTGGGCTTAGATGCTCATGACCTTGCTTTCCAGGCAGGGAGGGGGAAGCTGCACGTCCTCAGGGGACCACTGATTGGCATCTCACCTGCTAATCCCTGTCCTGCTGAGGCCACCGCTCTCCCTGATCCCCTAATGCTGACCCTGCCACAAATCTCCACCCCCGGAGACCTGAGGGCTGGCGGGCCCTCTGCCCTGGGCTTTATAGGTAAGGGAAAGATGCCCAGATCACAGACAACCCTCTTTGCGAACAGAGTTGGGGGTCTTAAAACCCAGAAAGAACAGTTAGTGCAGGGCCACAGAGCCTGCTCTGGCCAGCCTGGCTCAGCCACCGCCAGAGAGCCCCAGCTCTTGAGAGAACTGTCTCAAGATACCTGTCTATGCTGAGGCTGGGGCGGTAGCAACCTTGGGGAAGGAAAGTGGAGCAGGGGCCAGAGGTGGGGGGCAGTACACAGGCCTCTGTAGCTCCCAGAGCCTGTGGTTGCCGGGGGTTGCGGATGTGGGGGTGCCCTCACAATCAGGCTGCAAGGGGCATTGTCTCTGCAGAATGTGCCTTTATTCTCTGCCTGCCTCACAAGGTGCTAGGCCCAGCTCACCCCCTCCCTCTTCTCCCCACTGAGCTGGCCGAAGACGAGACCCTTAGAAGCCGTGCACCCTGGACTCCGGGCTTCCAGAAGAGGTAGCCACCTGTCCCTGGCCTGAGGCAGGGAGTCCTCGCTTCCCTCCTGGCACTCCTCCACTTCCCTGTCACTCCCCAGGCATAGCCACCCTGGCAATAGCTTCCCAGGGTCACCATGCTTTCTCCTTGCTCCTGCTCCGGGTCCTAAGGCCCTCCGTCCCCCCACCTCCTACCCCCACCCCCCACCACCACCACCTGCCTCCACATTTCCTCTCACTGGGGTCAGAAAGCAAGCAAACAAGCAAACTGAGTCAACAAAGTTTAGACAAAGTTTAAACGACTGAGATGCTCCTGGGAATATCTGCTCTTTGAAGGGAGGCCCTGGGTCACCGGCCCTGCTCTTCTGGTTCATATCTATCAAGTCTCTCCCTGTCTTGAAAACTTGTCTCCGTCTCCCTGTAGAGTGCTGAGCAAATGCCAGCTAACTTAGCTAAGGCTAAAGGCCCATAATTAGTTACCTCGAGGTGTACTGAGCTCATTTCTGATCCCCCTTGCTGCTGCTGCTTCCTGCTCAGGATTTTAGACTCAGAGTCACCTCTTGCCGCCATTCTGAGAGCCCCGACCCCAGCCTGCCCCTGCTCCCCTGCACAGCCCTATACTGATCTCTGCCACAGCCCTTAGCACATCCTGGCATGTGTCAATGTCTGAATGTCCCTGATAGCACACGGGGAGCCTCTGGCATACACACAGCAGGCGCCCAATAAATGCTGGGCATGTAGCCAAATTAGCCCCGGCCAGGGTTGCATTCCCACATAGAAGGGTGCCCCGGGCCCCTGGGCCCCGTATGCTTCTTACTGCCTCCTGCTCCGCAGCCATGGCCCGCATCATCGACCTCGAGCCCTGGGAGGACGGCTGCACCCACGCGTGCACAGCGCCGGTCATCCTGCTCCCAGTGCGCAGGCGCAACCAGCTGGCCGGCGTGAAGCATCAGCTGTATCACCCCGCCCTGCCCACGCTGCGCCGCATGGACATGGACTCCGTCAGAGGCTGCCTTTCCGATGAGCACAGCCAGTCCACTACCTACTGCCAGGAAGGTCAGGCCACCCTTGGGGCTTTAGAGGAAGGAGTGGGTGGTTTTGAAGAGACAGACCGCCCAGAAGAATCCATGAGGACAGACGAAAGGCCTGAAGGGACCCATGCACTAAATGCAATAACCCTTCGTGGTCTGGGAAGCTGGGGCATGCAGCAAGGGTGCCACGCTGCCATCCACGTGCAGTGCGGGGTACTGCCCAGGGCCGCAGGGGCGGTGGGCATCCCAGCTAGGGGAACAGCCTGTGCAAAGGCCCCAGAGAGTAAAGCTAGGGGAGATGCTGGTAACCTGGAGAGGTTTGGCTGGACAGGAGGGGAAGGTCTGGGAGGGCAGCGGGCATGGCCGCTGCAGAGGGGAGCCCTGTTGCTAAGCTCAGGGGCTGGACTTCCTCTGGAGGGAGCTAGGAACTGTGGAGACCAAGCAGAAAAGAGGGCTCGGCTTGGGAGGGAGGGTGGTTGGTGAGGAAGCAGCCCAGAGAGACCAGAGTGGGTGATCCAGAGGTAGTGGGGAGTACCTGGATCACTGGGAGGGCCCCCAGGCTTCAAGAAGTGATGTTTGACCAGTGGGGAAAGTTTTGGGAGGTAAGATTTAAAGTACAGTTGGCCACAACAGGGTGTGACTTCCTCCTCCTCCTCCCCCCAACACCCTCTTCCCCCAGATTGCTAGGTGAATTTACAATGCTAGGGGAATTGCCCCTTATCTGTAAAACAAATGGAGATGTTTTCTCATTTGTTTTTTGACTTCTCTTGTGTTGTTTTTGCATGCATGTGTTCATTTTTATGTAGTCAGTTCTCAATCTTTTGTCTAAATCTAGCAGGTTTGGGTAGTAACCCTTCCCCCCCCACACCCCAATTTATCAAGGCCTTTACTTGTCCTCTCTTCTAGTGCTTCCACAGTTCCATTTGTTTACATGGAAAGCTTTGACCTATTCCGAGGCTCCTCAGTTGTAAATGTGTAAAGTAAAAATCAACTTTAGCTTTTATTTTTTAAGTTGTGGAATATTTCGAAAAGCTAAAGCGGTGTGGGTGGGCCCCAACCCTCCCAGGCACTGGTGAAGGAGACCCCTCTCCTCTCCTCTTCAGATGAATTTGACAACGCCTACTTCACACTCCTGGGCGTCCCCAACAAACCCCTGCAGTGCTTGGTGAGTGTCCTCTGCCCCAGACCTTGGGTTAGCTCAGGGAAGGGGCCAGGAAGGCTCAGGGCACCCTCCCAGTCCCAAGCTCCTGGGATCCAGGTTCTACTCCTGGCATTTCCTCAGCCCCGCTTGGGGCTGTGTTCTCCTGTCTCCCCCAGGGACTTCAGGCCCCCTCCTTCAGATAAGCCAAGAGCCTCCTGCAGTCTGCACTCTGGGTCTGCCCGCCCCTCCCACCCCCCAGGTTTCTACACCTGCCTCTGCGGCCCTGACCCCCGTCATCTGGCCCTGATCCCCATCCCGTCCCCTTGGCAGGACATTACAGCAACTGGCCGGAAGGTCCGTGACAGGTGCCGCAAGGGGACGCTGGCGCCCTTGACTCCAGGCATCAGCAGGGTGGACTGGCCCTGCTTCACCAGCGCTGTGGAGGACTGGTCCCACTTTGTGTCCTCGGCTGGCGAGTTCAAGCTGCCCTGCCTGGGCAAGAGGGGTGAGCCCACCCCGTGGAGGTGACCCCAAGGCTCTGGGCAGAGCCTAGCCTGGACGGGAGCCTGGACGGGAGCCCTGACCAGAAGCAGAGCTGCGTGGGGGAGGAGGGGGTGAGGGGTGGGAAGGTCTGGATGATGTGTCAGGGACCTGGGGGGCAACTGGAGCACCTACATCGGGGAAGGACGGACCAGGCTGAGGGACCCGAGGTGATGGTGGCCTTGAGGAGGGACCCGGTGTGATCTGGTCCCCAGAAGCCACTGAGGCTGGTTGTGGGACCCCGGGGAGTGCGACCTGGAGGAGGGGCTAACGCTGTGGGCGGAAGAGACTAGAGTAGTTTGGGGAGCAAGTGTGGGGGTGGTTTGCTCTGTTGCGGCTGTGGCTGGAGCTGGGGCTCTCTCCTCTCCGCAGTGGAGGGTTTCAGCAGCTATGCGGTGCGGTACTTGAAGCCGGAGGTGACTCAGAACTGGCGGGTAGGGGAAGGCTTCATGCTTACTCATATGGGGCGGGAGTTGGGGGGGGTCGCTGGTGGAGGTAACACTGACTGGGGTGATCCGGGAGGGGGAGAAGAGCCAGACTGCAGGGCTCCCAGGGCGTCTGCGTGATAGACCCCAGAGAACGCTGGGGGGGGGGGGGCGGAAGGCGGGAGAGGGGCCTCAGTGGCCCCCAGCTCGCCCACTGCCCCTTTGGCTCTCCCCAGTTCTGTCTCACCCAGAACCCCAGCCTGGATCGCTATGGACAGAAGCCCCTGCCTTTCGACTCCCTGTAAGTATTCCCGCTACCCAAAGGAGGCAGGTGGGGTCTTGGCCACCTTGAAAATATGAGACCTGGCAACAAATGTTTGGATCGCATACACCTCGAGAAAATTGCACTTTCAAAATAAGTCCTACTTAACCGAGCGCCCAGCCCCGCCGGCCCCATTCTCCCGGAGACGTTAAAGTGGAGCAGAGGTGCCCTGAAATTCTTCCCCTACCTCCATTCCCCTACCCCCAGTTTGTGGGAAGGGGGTTCCCGATGTGGGAGTGAGGTCCTGGAGAGGTCGCCACTCCCCCTCTCCTCTCGGAATTCTCTGTTCTTTGCAGGAACACTTTCCGGCGCTTCGGCTCCTCCTACAGGTAGGGGGGGCGCCCCCCCTAACCTCACCCCCACCCCTGCCCCCCAGGGGCCTCTGGGCTCAACTGATGCTCTGACAACCTCTCTACCCAGGAAGCCACCCCCTACCAGACCCTGCAAGGGAGGCGCTGGGTTGGGAGGGGTTTACCCTCCCGGTTAATGGGGGTGGGGTGAACCGTCCCACCCGACTGGGCTCAAAGGAAGCCAAAAGAGATTACCTGGGAGTAACCTCTTTTTTTTGCGGCCACAAGAGTAGCAGCCAAGTAGGGAACAAGATGGAAAGAACCCATAAACTGCCTCAGGGTACGGGTAGGTGGTACATTCGGAAGCCTGAGTTCGACCAGGCTGGAGGAAGTCGGCAAGCACCTCCCACCTCTGCAGCCCCAATCCCTGCACTACAGCGGCCCCAGACTCCCGGTGCCACCCAAACACTCCACTCCTTGGGTGCCATCTCTGCCTGGTGCTCCTTCCTTCTTCCTTCTGTGTGAAAAACGTCTCTAGGGTAAAGCCAGACATCCCAGCCCGCGGGGAGCCCTCCCTGGCCTGGGCTCCAGCTCCCAGCTCTCAAGCCCTGCCGGTGATCAGAGCCTGCGGGCTGCTGTGACCCACCCGTGCACATGCTAGGATGACTTGTGTTTGTTACTATACTCGGCCTGCTGGTTTGCTACTTGGTTAAAAAATTAGTGATGGGGAATCAGTGGAGAAAGGCGGAGGCCGCTGGAAGGGTGTGTGGTGAGCCAAACAGTACAGCTGAAAATATGTGAAAGGCAATAGGGAGCCATCGAAGAGTCTTGAGCCATAGAGAGACAGACTGGAAATCCTGTTTTTAGAGCTTTGAGGGCAGGAAGGTGAATTTGGGGCAACAGCCTATGGAAGAGCAGCCTGATTTCCCTCGGGACACCCTGGACACCACATCTCACTTGTTTTTCTCCATAGTCGAGTCAACTACCTGGTCCCGTGGCGTTAACCTGCAAAAAGGACACGAACCCCAGGCTGCTGGACCCCAGGCTGCTGGACTGTGCCACCTCAGGTTCCCCAGCAGGGCAGAGGGCGTATGGTGGCACCTCCTGTCTCCCTAAGAGTCCACCCTGATTGGAAATAAACCCAATGCTCCCAGACGGAGGCACCAGGCTCGTGGGGAGGTTGGGGGCGGGGTTGGGTGCCGTAGGGAGTGGGTGTGGTAGAGACTGACAGTGGTGAGGACCTCAGAGTGACCATGTCTTCTACCTGTCCCTGTCAACTCCTGGAGTTGAAAGCTGTCTGGTGATAACAGGTAGACAGCCAGGCTCTAAACCCCAAGCCCAGCAAGGGATGAGGTGCAGAGGTGGGCCTGCAAATTGGGTTTTCCTGGTACCCCCTGTCCCCTGGAGGTAGCCCCACAGCCAACCCTCTCCACCTCAGACTCTAGACATGAGCCCTGAAGGGAAAAAGGGGGTTCAAAACAGAGCATTGGAGAGCCTCTTTCTGAAGCTCTTGCCATTCCAGTATATTCTATGGGGCTCCCCTGGGTCCTGCAGAGGTGAGGTGGAGCTCTGGTAGACCCTCACCTCTGTACCTGTGAACATCACTGGCCTACCAACCTACAAAAGGAAGACGTGATGCACCAAGGGACTTCTGTGCACCCCAGGCCAGGCCCAGGGTGCCCCCACTCCCAGGGCCGAGGCAGAGTGTCTCCACCACAGAGAGGGGCTACAGAGGCATCGGCACTAGCTCCCAGGCCAGGCCAGTGCCCGGCCTCAGCCCACCGAGGACAACCCGCAAGGACCAGCCCAGACCAGGTAAACAGCCACTGGGCTGCAGAACTGTGCGCAGGACGGCTGGGGCTGGGTCTGCCGGGGTCCCGACCCTCCTGAAATCACAGCGAAACATGTATCTGCCCCTGTTCACTGTGTCTGGAAAGGCCTCTTGTTTTTATCTGATTGTCCAGAGTGCCTGCCCACAAAGGCCAACGTCACCCCTATTCCCTTCCACTGCTATTTACTGGGCACCTGTTGCCTGCAAGCCAGGTCTCAGGCAGGAGGAATGTAAAGAATAACACCAGCCCCCCCGGGGGCCCCTGTGTTCCACTGTGTAGAGCACATCATAAGGCCCAGTCTCTTCCTGGAAGCTTCGCACCCCACAGGCTTCCTGAAAAGAGTAGAATCACTGCTATCCTGGCTCACAGACAGATACAGAGGTGCGGATCAGGGAGGTGGTTTACGTCCAGCCAAACCCAGAGCCAGGACTCAGAGCAGATCCCACACTGGGCACCAGGGCTCACCCCTCATTGTGCTTGGCACTGCGGACTGGTTTCCAGGCTGGCAGCCTCGGGCAGTCAGCAGTGGTGGACTCTGCTTGTGCTTGCCACGCACTCAGCCCGCTGGGCAGCTCGGGGCTGACTTGAATTTCTTTCAGGAGGGCTGGGGGTGCACAGGCGAGGGACCCTGGCGTCCACCTGTCCCGAAGTATGGACACAGAGGGGGTAGGAGACAGGAGCATGAGGAGGGGCAGGCAGGAAGTAGGAAGACCTCGCAGAAGCCCTTCCTCCCCGAGAACTGTTGTGGGGGGCCCGCTTCGCACCACTTCACACCGGGAGAAGCCTAGCCTCCGCGCTCCGCGGGCCGTCCCTATGGCGTCCACCTTGGCAGAGCGCCCTGTGTCAAAGCCACGCTGTGGAGCCCCAAGTGTCCCCCCATTGTGAGAGCTGAGAGAAGAGACAAACGCGCCAAGACCTGTGGTGGGGATGCTGGGGTCCCGGCTGGGAGACGGATCACCGTGAGCCCCAGAGAGCACGTGGGCTCCGTCCTGGCACTGCCTCCTGGACCACTGAGCATGTGCTGGAATTTGGCCCGCAGCCACTCGAGGCCTCGCCGGGCCCCTCGCTGCAGGCTGGTGGACACACCCCGGATGCCATCGCTGAATTGGAGCTGCGTCTAGGCCGGTGGGAGACAGGCACAGCCGACGCAAACCAGGTGAGAACGAGGGCCTGCTCCCCCAGCCCAATGCCCCGTGAATGGTGAGCCATGCCCACGATTCAGCCGGGTTCATGCCCAGCGGCCAGACACCGAATCCTGATCTCATAAACAGAAAGCCGCGCGCCTGCCCAAGAACAAAGGAAACGCAGTGGAAGGCCCCAGCAAGCCTGACGGCGTAGGCATTTCGTGTTTTGTAAGTGCAGGGCCGTGCGTTAAGCACTTTGCCGTCCCCACGCGGGCGCCGCTTTAGACCCACTTCTCAGATGATGAAATGGACTCTGGGAAGTTCAGTGACCTGCAGTGGAGGTCACGCTTGGAATGGACGGGGTGGTTGGTGGAGCTGGGGATTGGCCTGTCCTAGGGGTGGGCGTTCGGCCGGGGCCTAGAGGAGGCAGATGTCCAGCCAGGCCTGCTGTCAGCAGCAGGGCCTGCACGTTGCCCGCCTCGCCCACAGATGGGAAGCTCCACCCCCTCCCAGCCTGGACCACCAGCTCCAGGCGTTAACATTCCCTCAGCCTCAAAGGGGATCTTTGCTCACAGAAATAGATGCTATTGAAAACCCTCCCTGGAGCTGCTGGCCGGGGAAGGCCTGACCTTCTGGCCTAGCCCCCCACACAAACCCCGCCACCAGCCACCCTGCTCAGGCCGACACCTGACACTCTCCTGCCTGCCAACTTTGTTTAGCACCTTCTTCCCCCTGAAATGTCCCCCAAAACCTGCCCTTGCCCTTTCTTCCAGGAAGTCCTCTCAAGCATCCCCATGGCCCGCTTCTTCACCATGAAGACAGGAGCAAGTGGCCTCCGCCCACTGTGGGGTTCTCTGGAAATACTTGCAGGCCTCTCTGGTCTCTGGCTGGGTCTGAGGCTCAGGACCCACAGCTCTGGACTAAAGACAACCCTTGAACAGTAACATTAGTTGTGCTTACTACAAGTAACACACAGAACGCCCCTTTACCCAGTGCTGGGGGTTAGCAGTGGGAGAAGACAGAAGTGAGGCAAGTCCTTGCTGAGGGAGTGGGGGGTCAGGGAGTATTGAACAGTCATATCAGTAGCTTTGACATTTTCACTGTTCCTTTTCCTACATAAAACCTCCAAACTCGCTTATCTGAAGTTCTTTCTCAGTGCCCTGCAGTACCAGCTCGGCGCCTAACAGCGGTGCTCAGGAAAGCTTGTGGGTGAACAAAGGCTGGGCGGGAGACCCCACATTCAGTGAAGGGGGAGACCCCACGAGCCCCCTTCTACCCCTGCCCCTCCCCTTGACCTCCTTTTCAGAGCCCAGAGGAGGACTAAGCATTCCTGCTGGAATTTTTGTACACTGGCAAAAATCAATAGCGGCCAAGGCTTTTCCTGGAGGCTTGACCTTCAAGGAACAAAGAAACCTCGGGTTTGAGGATGGGATGGGACGCACAGAGAGCTTATCACAGGCAGCCTCGCCCAGGCTCTGCGGCCCTGAGCCAAGTCCAAAGCCTCAGCAGTCCAGGGCCCTGTCTGAGGCCTACTCCAGAGGAGGGGACGAGTGGGAGGCTGGGCGTCAAGCCAGAGCCAAAGACAGCCCTGTCTGGTAAGGCTGGGAGGCCTGGGCCCTTATGAGGTCCTTCAGCAAGGGTGGGAATGAGTGCCCAGCCTCAGTCCTCAAGGGGCTAGCTGAGAGCAGGCCAGAGGGCGGCCGCACCCCGCCCGCTGAAGAGCCTTCCTGCTCCCTTGGCCAGGCCAGAGCCAGCGTGGGTCCCGGCCATTGTTCCTGCTTCCTGGGCAGCAGAGGGGGTTGGAGCCAGAGCCCTGGGCTTCAGCGCGGAGCCGGAGGCCAGCAGGTTAAGAGCTGAGGGCTGTCTAGCAACACTGCCTACCCCCACCTGGCCCACCTGGCAGAGTCCACATTCCAGGCCTCTTTTATCACTAATGCATATGGCTTCAGGCAGCCCCTGGACTTCTCAAGGGCCAAAGTCATTCCTCCTGTCTGCCCTGATCCATCTCATGGAACCAGTGCAAGAGTTAGAAAAGTCGGTGGATGAGAGACCCGTGAATGGTGTCAGGGTGGGGGAAGCCTGATGCCCCAATAGGAGAGTGGGGCTGGCTCCCTCCCGCCGCAATCCTCTCCCTGCTCTGCTTCCCATCATGGCTCCTCTGTGCCAAATACCCCACACAGGTTGTGCCAGTGTGCCTGAAGCCCAGAAGTCACCTCTATTTCACAGATGAGGAAAATGAGGTTTAGAGGGGTTGAACCACCTCCCCCAAACCCTGCTGCCTCTGAGTGCAGAGACAACACTCCAGTGGGACCTGACCCTGGTGTCCTCCCTACCACCTCGCAGCACCGTCAGCCCGTCCTGGCCTATGCCCCTGAACAGCCGGGACAGTCAGCTACACTGGGAGCCAGAAACCCCTCGGGATGATGGGCTCCCTAGGAAAGCTGACTTCGGTGGCCTGGCCTGCCTGGCATAGTCTTCCACGCCCACCCCTGCCCCTTCAGCCCTCCTATGTCCCAGCCGGGGGGATGACTCCTTCCAAAATGTGCTGTTTATGTCAGTCTCTCCCTCTCACCCTTCCCAGCTCACACCTCATTCAGATGTCACCCCTTGCCCCAAGGCATCATCCCACCATCTGGTCAGCGGCTGGGGCAAAAGAATCTAAGAGACTAAAGACAGCCCCGGTTTCTATACCCAGCCGTGATGTCTGAAGTCCCCCTCCGAAAATGCTATGCTCCAAGAGAGGTGACACCCCCAGGAGGGGTTCTCCAGCAGGCAGGAGAGGCCCCTGTGTGTGTCCAAGCACCGGGCTGGCTGCTCGAGCTGGTGTGTGACTTACCCCGACAGACAGCAGAGCAGGCAGGAGGGGCGGCTGCAGCAGGACAGGCGTGAGGGAAAGGACAGCTGACCCTGTCGCCTCCCCAGAATCAGAGCAGCGGGTCCCCAAACCCTCCGAGGTCAGGGCTCCAGACCTCTGCTTTGGATGAAGAATCAAAGTCCCCAGGGGGGTAGTGCCCTGCCTGAGGTCACTGGCACTTGCCCTGGACCCACTGTCCACTTCAGAAGGGCAGCCTGGAGCTTTAGGCAGACACACAGAACGCGGCAGTGCTCTCCAGAAGCCTCTGCCAGCTGCGCTGGCTGGAAAGGAAGCCAGGACCCTAAGGGCAGGAACCACATGGGTCCTCGAGCAGCCACACAGAGGGAACCAGGAGTGCGGGGTCCAGTTCACATTCAGGGACCCCCGGGCATTTCACCTAAGCCTTTCACATCCGAGTTTTGAGCCCCCTGCAGCACGGGCAGCTCCCTGTCGCCTCAGCTTTCTAGCCCCCCCCCACTCGTCCCAGGTCAGTGTCCCTGCTGCCCAACGTCCATGGCAGCTTCCCCTCCCCCTCCAAGCTTGCCTTTGAGAAGCAGGAGCCTGAGTCCCAGCTGGCCCCAGGTTACAGGGATGGGACAGAAAATGGGGAGCGAGGGGAGGAGGCTGGCTTGGCGGCAGTGGGTCACCGTGAGACAGGTGAGTCAAAGTGGGGCTAGAGCAGGTGACCTGCGAGGACAGGGCCGCTGCCACTGAGCCAGCCCTTGGTTCTCCACTGGGGCCGAGCTAGTGCTCATGCTTACCAGGCCCTGGGCTCTGAGCCTCCAGCTCCCTGCTCAGGTGCTGCAGTTAAACCCCAGGGTCAAGCTGGCCCGGGCCAGCTGTCCTGCCGTTGGTACTGCCAGAGTCTTCCCAGCGTGGCCACCGGGACCTCAAGACACAGGTCTCTCTACGGATGGCTCTTCCCACAAGCAAGCCAGGCAAGGGTTAATCGCCCCACGTCACCCACCGGCAACTGAGCTCCAGAAAGGTTAGCACCTTACCCAAAGTCCCAGGGCCAGCCTATGCCCCACTCCGTGCCTGCCACCCGGCTCAGCCCCCTCCTGCCCCTGCAGAAGAACGACCCGCACGAGCAGAGCTTTGGTCTCTGGTGGTCAGTGTCTTTACTTCTAAAGCATACGCTGGACTCTATATATTAACATCAAAAGGGGCTATCTAAAATGGAGTCTTTTTTAAAAATCCAAATTCTCACATTTTTATATAAGATCCAAAGTGGCATGAAATAAACTATACAATGTTATGGATAATAACTGCTTTTAAAAAGCAAAATGAAAGGAAAAAAAGAGCAGTTGGGCCGTGGTAAGCCTGGGCTCCAGGTCCCAGAGGCATCGCCAGGGAGAGCCAGCAGGGGGCCGCCCAGCCCCTCTGCGCCCACAGGAAGGGAACCCAGAGAACCCAGAGAGGGGAGGGGTGGAGCGCTCGGACTTCTGAAGGGGAGAGCGAGACGAGGGTCTCCCTGCTCCTCTGGGTCCTCGGTTCATGCACTGATCAGTCTTCTTTCAAGACCCACAACCGAGAAGCGGGGCTGAAGAGCTCAGGGAGAGAGCCAAGTTCAAAACCTCTAATTTGATAATGAAGGTCCTGTGGGCTTCCAAGCAGGGCCCGGCCTCCAGGGACTCCGGTGGACTCCACCCACCTACTGGTGTCTGACCACCTTCTCCCCTTACAGGCCCACTCCCTCTGCCCAGACACCCTTGGCTCCTTAAGGCTCGTGGGCTGTCACAGACCGGGAGGACCCCAGGGAGATGCTCTGGCCTTGGAAGGACTCAGATGTTGTCCAGGGCGTCATGGCAGCACAGACCCTGGGTCCAGGCCGGAGCAGCTGACGGGGGAGGGCTTCCACGGGCTGGGGCCTGCGGGGTCCGAGGCCATGGCCAATCTACTCACTTCCTCCACTGTGGGCCCTAGGCCTGGTCTTGGCCCTGACGCAGGGTGCCGCCAGCGTGCTTCCCACAATTCAGTGGGGAGGACACTGGTGCCATCCACTGGCGAGACCATGGGCTGGCCCGATTCCTCCAGGCACCAGGTGGTCGAACACTCCCCTTACTTCACGCCGGCAGGTCCACCTGGCTGAGCACTTCCCCCCCATAGCTCAGAACCACTGCGAAGGTGGCGGGTGTGCTTCCAAGACAGCGGCCTAAGCTTCAGCGCAAAGGCTGCCCTCCCTAGCTCCCAGGGGCGCACTGCGGCCGACCCACCCCAAGAGGGGGCCTCCTCCCTCTGCCGAGCTGCTGTCAGGGAGACCCACTGTCAGGGAGACCCGGCCCACAGACGCGGCCTCCGCTGGGTCTGGCCCGGCAGAAATCTAGAAGACACCTGGCCACCGGCTACCACAGGCAGAGCTGCCCTTTGGCTTGGCTTCCTGGCCCCCAGGACGACAACACAGGTCGGCCTTTCGCTCTCACGGTAACTTGAAGAGGGGCATCCTCCACCCCTGGGGTCCAGCCCTTCTCCCCCGCCGCCATGACCGCCATGTTTCCCAGGCTGTCTGGTTTCCCATTAGCGGGACGGTCTGGGAAAGTGAGCCTGGTACCACCCCCTCCGTGGGCTGAGGAAGCCCCCTGACTTCCAGCCCGGTGCCAGACTCCCAGAGACAAGGGGAGCTGGCGGCTCAGCTAGCAAACCCCGGCTGGAGAGCGGCTTGTGGACTCAGGACCGTCGTCGGAGCCATCTGGCTCCCCCACCTCCGAGCTGGAACCGAGATGCCAGGCACCCCCGCCCCACCTGCCCGTGGTCCGTTTGTCCCCAGCCCCAGGACCTCGGTGCACCGGCCAGGCCAGGCCGGCAGGAGGCGCCCGCGGGCTCAGGGCAGGCAGGCGGCCACCTGGTAGGCGCCCTCGGCGGCGGCCGCGGCTGCGCTGTGCTGGGCACTGTGCTCCTGCAGCAGGGCCACGTCCAGGAAGCGCTCCCCGCACCACACGCACTTGAACTGCTGCTCGCGGGCGTGGACCCCCTGGTGCTTGTTGAGGTGCTCCCGCTGCTTGAAGGCCTTGTCGCAGTGGGGGCACTTGTAGGGCTTCTCGCCCGTGTGCACGCGCCGGTGCCGCTGCAGGTCCGAGGCGTACTTGAAGCGCTTCTCGCAGTCCGGGCACTTGAGCGGCTTCTCTCGGGCGGGGTCGCAGCGGTGCTGCACGAACTCGGAGGAGGAGAAGAAGCGGCGCTCACACAGCGTGCAGCGCAGGGGCTTCTCGGCCGCCGAGCAGTGGGCCAGCTGGTGCTTCTGCAGGGCCGCCGCCCGCTTGTAGGCCTTGCTGCACACCGGGCACTTGAAGGGCCGCTCCGCCGCGCTGGGGACGCACTTGTGCCGCAGCAGCTCGGCCGACTGGTCGAAGCCCTTCTGGCACACGGGGCACTTGAAGAGGGTCTCCAGGGTGTGCACGTGCTGGTGGTACAGCAGGTGGCTGGGCTGCCCGAAGCCCTTCTCGCACAGGCCGCACTTGAAGGGCTCCTCCGCCTTGTGCGTGCGCCGGTGCCGCATGAGCGCGTACTGCTGCTTGAAGCCCATCGGGCACAGGTCGCACTTGAAGGGGCGCTCGGCGCTGTGCGTGCGCTCGTGCTGCCGCAGGTCCGACGGCCGCTTGAAGGCCTTCTGGCACTCCCCGCAGCGGAAGGGCCGCTCGCCGCTGGGCGTGCAGGGGTGCTGCAGCAGCTCCGAGGACTCCTTGAAGTGCAGCTCGCACACGTTGCAGCGGAAGAGGTGGTGCTCGCCCGAGTGCGCGTACATGTGGCGCACGAGGTGCGAGCGGTGCTTGAAGGCCTTCTCGCACACCGCGCACTTGTAGGGCCGCTCCGAGCTGTGCGTGCGCTTGTGGTGCACCAGGTGCGACGACTGGCTGAAGCTCTTGTCGCACAGCGTGCATTTGTACGGCTTCTCGCCCGTGTGGATGCGCTCGTGCCGCGACAGCTCCGACAGGTGCTTGAAGGGCTTCTGGCAGATGGGGCAGCTGTAGGGCTTTTCCGCCGCGTCCGCGGGGGCGACGGCCGGCGTCGGGGCGGCGGAAGGCAGCGACGGGGCGGCCGTGGCTGCAGGCTCGGCAGCCTCGGCGGGCTTGTAGGTCTTCTCACAGATGGAACACTTCACGATGCCGCCGGCGCCCGTGTGTGCGCTGTGGTGCTGTGCCAGTGAGGTGAGCAGCGAGAAGCCCATCTTGCAGACACCGCAAACGAAAGGCTTCTGCTCAGCCTGGATGCACTGGTGCTCCAGCAGGTCGGTAGCCTGGTGGAATATCTTGAGACACTGTGTGCACTGGAAGGAGCGGTCGTGGCCCGCCAGGCACTGGTGCTCGTGTGGGCTTGACAGGTGCGCCAGGTCGTGACCGCACACGCCACACTTGGGGCCTGGCTCGCCTGCTGCCTGCAGGGGAGCATGCTGGGGGGGCTGCAGGCCAGGGTCTGGCTGCAGGAGGATGCCGTAGACGGCGCAGCCCAGGGGGTTCTCGGCCGTGCCCGGGGGCAGAGCATGCTCGGCCAGCGCCGGCGGCGGCTCCGCATGGTGTTGAGGTTGCGGGGGTTGCGGCTGCTGCGGTTGTGTCTGTGGTGGCTGCTGCCAACTTTCCGACATGCTTGGGAAGATGAAACAGGGCTTGGAGAGTAATGGCTTCAGTTTCCCGCTTAAGGTGACCCAACCCAGTAAGAGAAGCTGCCCGGGATGAGGGGTGGACAAGGACCTCGGACAAGGCACAGAAGAGGGACCGGTCAGCCAGCCCGAGTCATTAACCAAGACCAACTACAACGCTCTGCCTACAGGATGGGGGGCTCTTCGTGGCAGGGTCCCAGCAATGCCAGGGAGGCTCTGCCTTCCCCGATGATGGGTTCTGTGGGGAAGAGAGACAGCGTGAGTTTGAGGCAGCCATGTGCAGTTGTCCCCTGAGCATTCTCTGTTCCGCCCACACTCGCCATGTGGACGTAAGCCACACCGGGGAAGGGAGAGAGGCTCGGAACTGGGCGGTCTGCTCCCTTCACATGGACCACCAAGTCTGCCGGCCACTCAGCTCCTCCAGCAAAGAGGAACGGTGCTTCCGCCACCCCTGCTCACCCTCAGTTCCCCACCCCTGGGCCTGGGCAGCTCAGTCTTCCAGTTTCCCATAAACCCTCCTGAATCAGGTGTTGCATAGGTAAGTCTCGGGTGATCGGCCCCCAATACAAAAAGTCACACGCTCTGCTCAGGTGCCAAGGGAAGAAGAAGAAGGGGAAGAGCCACCTGTTAGGGCCATGTTGTTCTAAAAGAATTAATTTCAGCAGCATACCTTACTTTGCAAAAAATAAATCCTTACATGGAAGCCCCATGTATAAGACAAATAACAACAGAGCAGATTCTTCCCTGAGCCCAACCAGCCCCTCCCACTCGGCAGCCTGAGTCTCAACCTAGGACACAAGCGCTCAGAACAGTCTGCTGGGGTCAGGTCTTTCTTACCTAGAGCCTGGTAAAAACAGCCTCAGGCTGTCACTATAAAGAACTACATAGACCTGAAGACCATCTCAAAACCTTCTCTTGGGAGGGGCTGGCTGACAACCCTCCCAGCTGTGCTGAGGGCCCCACCCTGACCACTCATCTGTTGTTTCTCCCCACAACAGGACGGATGGCACTGGGGGGGGGGTGGAGCCAAGATATGATGGGGGACAGATTCATAGTGTCACACTGTCTGGATGTCAACACATCGGGACTGCCCCACTTCATCCATGTCCAAATGGAAAATATCACACAGGAAAAATGTCCTAAACCCTCTGAATTTCTATGATAGTGTCAAGACCTAGGGGGTGTGAGCTGCCGCGTGCTAACCACAGAGGTCTCCAGCTCCCTTGCTCCAAGATGATAAGATTCTGGGTCATCGATGGAATTTAAAGCCCACCCAGCCCAGGCAAATCTCTAACTCACCACTTTGTGGCAGCATAAGGTAATGACAGAGAGAGGGAGGAACTTTTAGAATCAGATACAGCCCACTTCCAGGTTCCCAGCCCCCGTGCTTCTAACAGTAAAAAGTTTCTAAGTTTTCTCCTGAGGACAGGAGAAGGAAGGAGATGGCTTTATTCTTCAGCCTGGCCTCTAACTGTTCTGCCAAAGAACTAGAAGAGTCAGGCTATGAGCTGTCATCCTCAGCATCTTCCCGGAAGGGAGGAAGGAAAGGAAGGAGCTGCCGATCCCGGTAGAGGCAGCAGGTTGCAGGAGCAGCAGGCACCCACACCTCCCCGGGAAAGAGGAAGCCTGGCTACTCGCGGCAAGGTCTAGGTCCATGGGCACCAAGCCAGCTGATTTTTCCCCAGCTTGAGCCAGACTCAGGAAACCCAGCCTTGGGCCCCCAGCTCCAATGCCCACCCCTGGCCACCTCCAGGAAGATGCCGCCAGGAGGCCTCTCTGATCACTCTGCTCTGCAAAGAGGAGAGACTAAGACTAGGGGAAGCCCCAACCTGGGCCCCACCCCAGCCAGCCCTACCCTTCTCCTTAGGAAACCTAATTAACCGATCACTTCCCCGCCGGCCGGCGCAGCTGGGCTGCCTCCTGTCAGCGCTCGCCTGGCCGGGATCGCCAGGCCACAGCAGCCGGAGCCCCGGCACAGCCCGCGACTGGGCTCCAGGAAGGCCCCAGGCACGCAGGTCGGCCCCGGGAAGCGGCTGCGCGTCGAGGCCGGCCTGGGCTGCCCAGAAGCTAGAGAGG